TGCTCCAACATGATTCGTCTTTTGGAAAAGTATTGGTCCACCTGTTCACTGACAAAAGCCCCTGCCGGATCAAGACGCACAGTTGAGGGATTCCCAAAAACAGGTTTCCAGTGTTCTTCAAAAAATTGAATAAACTCTTCTCCAGTCAAACTCAGCTTCTTCCCTTCTCTCAAAACTTTACCATGCGAAATCTACTCCCCTCGTCAATGACCACAAGAAAATGAAAAGGTTTGTTATCTTCAGGGTGAACCCAGGTCCCAGCATCAGCTTGAATCCTTGACCATTTGGGGGGAATGGACTCCAAATTGGATTGGTTTCTTGGCGCAGGTATTTTGTGTTCTTCACAAACAGGACAACGGAAACCCTTGGCAACTTCCATGACTTCAGAACTGGCATTGCGTCGTTTCAGGGCCCGTAAAAGATATTCCTTGCTACAGTGTCCGGTGGCCGAGTGAATCCTACGCAACATCTGCATGATTTGTCCCTTCTTTTTGGGGTCTCCACTTTTGGGGTTTTCTTCGGTGGTTCCCAAAACTTCCCCTTCACAACTCCCCACATGTTTGTGATGACACATGCTCCTATCATGACCCTGCATGTCAGTTCCATCCATGAGTTCTTTGGTGATTTCTCCCATGGTTTCACCTGCTTGCAAGTGCTCAATCACTCTTTTTGCAAAGGCCGGAGTGTAAAAGGCTGACGCCCTACAAGCGGCACTACCTTCGCATTTGCCATGCACATGATTGGTGGTGCATTTCAAAGTCATGTGGCGGATCAGTCCATGGTTAGAACCCAGCATTTTCCATCCTTTCCCCAAAAGGTAACCATCAGAACCCTTCAAACCAACCTGGCAACCCTTGCAAACCCCAAAACAAGCACCAGTACGTTTTTGGAGGTCAACAAAACAAGGCATCTTCCAGGCTTCACATCTCTCGCTGAGTTCTATGACAAAATCCAGGCCCAGGCTCATAGTGTACATCGCAAGTTCACAAGCCCCTTCATATTGCAGCTTGGCATGTGCACGTTTTTCTTGAAGGTCTTTTCTCTGTTTCTCCGTTTTCATGTTCAAATGCTGCATGGGAGAGTAGGGCCCACACTCCGGACTCAACCAAACAACCTGGGGACGATGCTCAGAAATCAGGTGTTTCACATGTTTGCGACCCTCATTTGTTTCGATGTCACCCCCATTCAGGTGTGACACCCTCAGCGCAGAACCTGCGCCAAACTTTGTTTCGCACGTGCTGGTCAGAACACTGTCAGGGCTGCAACAAACTTCCAAAAGGCGCAAACGACCATCCATCACCAAAGCTTCCCAATCACTCTCAAAACCACGAAACATTTTGTTTTTGATGCCCTGCCAGTTTTTGCTGCTAAGGGTGTGTTTGACGCTGCTCTCACTTTCTCTCACTTCTGATTCTCCATCTTCCGGTTCTTCCCCTCCGAAGTGTCCATGTTGGAGTCCTTTTTGATCAGAGCCTGCTGGCGACGCAGTTCGTGGATCTGCTCCTCCAAACTGGCCACTTTCTCTTCCGGGGTTTTGGTGTCTTCGGAGTCGGAGAATCCGCTGGAGGGCACTGGCATGTCCACCACACTGAAGTGGCTGCTGTCTGACTGGTAGCCCATGGTGGAGGCTTTGGCCCTGGCCACAGGAGGCTTCCTCGTGGTGTTGGTGGCTGGAGGTTCTTGATTGATCCATTTCAAAAAGCGGGTCATCCTCCAACACGTGTTCTCCTCCTTGGAGATGGTGCGACACCAGTTGACGTACTGAGGGTCCTTGTTGGCCACTTCCATGTAGGTGCATTGACTGTGCTTCCCCCAGCCCATGAGATCCTGTCCCGTGGGAGGAATGGCCAAATGAATGGCCTTCTCCCCCATGGAGAGAAGCTGAGGGATCGTCTCGTTGTGGGTGATGGTCACTCCCAATTCCTCTGTGAGGTACTTCTTCAAGAGGTCTTTCTTCTTGGAGTGCCGGCTGAGATTGGACATGGCCTTCTTCAAGGTCATGTCGGAGCCATGTTCCTCCTTCAGCTCTTGGAGGCGTGCTTGGAGTTGAGGTTTCTTCCATGACATGGGAGGCTCCTCGCCCAGCTCGCGAATCTTGCCTCGGATCTCCTCCATGTTGGGCATGGCTCACAGTTTGAGAAGACGAGGGCTGCTCACTTGTTTTCTTGATCCACTGATCGGCAGGGCCAGGCGAGGTGCTGAGAACGCATGGCTGGGACGAAGCAATTAAATTGTCCCTCATGTCATTCTTGTTTTCCAAAACTTGAGTTCCCTCTCCCAAAATGGTCTTTTGAGGGGACTCCATGTTACTGACGCATGGTTTCTGGAATTCATTTATGGAATTGCTCTTTTCAGGGTTTTTGGTCTCAGTGTGATGTGTACGTTGTGGTGTATGTTTCTCTTGATGATTTTCAAATGTGGCCGACTCAGAAGGTAAGGTGCAATCATCCCTCCAAGGCGCATCTGCCATTCCATTTTGCCTTGGAGGGTCATGTCCCTATTCAGTATGGTCATCTACAAGGCTCACGAAGGGCGATTGCCTTCGGAGACTATTTTCAAAAATGTCACTCGTAAGTGGGAAAACTTGATGGCCCCCTCCTGTACGCTCAAGGTTGATCACTCGGTCAGGGCTCACCTTGGTGAGGATCATCTGGTCTTTGCTGAAGTCAATCACTGCGCCCAAGGATCTCAAGGCAGCGATGCTCAAAAGGACTGGCTGTCCTGGGACATCATGCACATGAACCTTCATTTGGCCTACTGCTCCTCCAAGGGGCACAGGAAGATGAGCGGTGGAGAGGCATGTCTTCCTTCCATTGTTGCCAAACCGAAAGCTCGGCTTCTCATCCAGACTGATCTCACATCGATGGTCAGCACCTTGGTTGAGGTTGATCTCCGCGATGCGCTCCATGGCATCGGTGGACCCGACCGTGGAGGTTGCACCGCCATCAATGATGGCCTTGCCGGCGTCCAGGATGGCGTTCATGGAAAGGAGGGTGCCTTCGACAAACACCTGGTCAGAACCAGTTCCCGTAGCCGCTTCAGGCTCAGGAGTGCTCAGAGCAAAGGTGAAGTGGACAGCCTGTCCTTCTTTGTTGTTCCGTTCTTCCTTCTGAGGGCATTGTGCGCTCAGGTGATCTGTGCTCCCGCAACGGAAGCATTGGCGGGGCTGGTCACTTCTGGCTCTGAAGCTGGACTCCTTCTTCACGGGGTAGAAACTTCGGCTCTTTCTCATCAAGGTTTGTTTTTCACGGGCTTCTCTCAGGGTGCGACGTGCTCCCTGGATGGCTGCCATTGCTGACTCTGCCTCTGAGGTGAGGTGGTTGTATTCTTCCTGCTGTTCACTGTCCATCCATTCTGGTGTTTCATTGAGTTCTTCTTCGGCTTGCAACAAGTTCTCATCCTCGTCGTCAAGGAGAAGGGCTGAACTGCGGTTCTGATCTCGTTTCTTCAGATCTTCCTCGGTCCAGTTCAGCTTGAGAGCTTCCTTGACCTTGGACGTGGTGAAGTCATTCTTGAGGTTGGCGATGATGGCTGCTTTTTCACCTCCATCGAGACCACTTCGCTGGAGGAGCATCCAAGCGACCACAAAGTCTGGCAAGAATCGGTCTGCCTCCTCTGATGCCCTCTCAGAGACATCATATTTGGCTGACCAATCTCCCTGTCGGCCATCATCTTTGCTGGACCTCGTGCTCCAGTGGGTGTACTTGTTGTCATCCCAATTGGACCACCATGACTGCTGGTTCCACCAGTTGTCGGTCCAAGCTGCGTCATTTTGTTCCTGTTGACCTTCATCATCTGTGTCCTGCATCAGCCCATTTTCATCAAAAGGCTGGGCGCTGCGCAGGCTTGGCGTTTTTGATCTTGGCCCTGAGGGTGCCCTCGAAGGTGAAGACCTTGTAGTCAGAGACTTCCTCCCCGAGTACCCTCCGTACTCATGGATGGCCTCTGCTAAGGTTCTCCGAGCTTCAAAGAGCTACTCATCATGTCTCACTATCCAAGAGTTCATGCTTTCACCTCGGCGTCTTCGAACTTGGTAGAAGAAACGTGAGATGTTCTTTCCGGCTTCTGAGAGGGTAGGTGCTTGCACATGTTCTCGTAGAAAGTCCAACAACTGATCAGCACCCTTCTCGTGAGAGATCCACCCCGGTCTTTGGTGTTGGACTGCTACCCGGGCTGGCCCTTCAAGGGCTGTTTGGAGCCGAGGACCGGCTAAACTTCTCTTCTTCCACTCTAGTGTCTCCACATAGTTCAAGGCTGCCCTCTTGTAGGGGACAAAACTTTCCGCACTACCATCGAAGATGGGAACCCCATCCTTCGTGAACCTGATTTCGGCCATTTGGCCACCACCAGAACTAGGAAAGGCTGCCAGCAGGCACCTAGTTCTCCCTGGATCTGTCCTTCACTCCTATGAGATCCGGACTCCCGCTACCATGCAAACGAACCACAAGGCAGTAAGCGCCCGCAACTTTTCCTGAAAAGGATCTAAGGGTGCTTGAGTCCAGATGACCATGTTAATGAGTTGAATGTGACCTCAATGACAATTGCATATATATACAACGTATATATATACATATAAGACAACATATATATATACACAATACATATATATATATATATATATATATACAACATATATTTAGAATAATATATAATATATAACATAAATAACACATATTATGTAATATAACCCATATATATATATATATAACATAAATAACACATATTATGTAATATAACCCATATATTATAATATAACACACATATAATATAACACACATATAATATAATACATTATAGCATATATATCATAATATATATATATATAACACATATATACATATAGTAATATATATATATTCTATAATACAGTATGTATATATATATATACATATAAATATAGACCAACAATATTGACTTTGAATGGTTTCTCTTTGACCCCATTTGAGGTTCAGGTGATCCACGGGTCTGGGTCCAGGTACAGCCCGGATGAGTTTGGTCTCATGGCCACCCTTGGCGAGGCATGTCGAAACGATATGATCGGATGGGCCGCTGTAAACACCATATAGATATAGAAAATATACGTCCGTCTAATTGTATGATTATGTATATATATATATATATAACATATATTTTAGATTAATAGTTGTTTTGGCCTTGTCTTTAAAATTTGGACTTATTTGGTTTAACTACTAACTGTTTGGATGTTCAGCAATATGCAACAGTCAATTTTGGGGTTCAATCATTCCGAGGAACAAAGGTGATTTCGCGCGAAATATGGGGGCAGGTTGCACCCCAACTCACCCTTTGAATAATTTCCATTGTCTTCGACAGGACAACAGCGTTTTCTTCTTCCAAGTGCAGTTGCTGTCAGAGCATGCGCGGAGCTTGGCCCAAAATTGGTGCTGATTTGGAGATATGGCTAGGCATAAAATCCATTCACACTTCAACAGCTCCATATGAGTCAAACTTGGGTTTTTTCACAAAAGACTGCGGCCTTTTTTATGCAAGAAACAACGACTCGGTGTTTTGGGGCCTAAACGTGAGGATGAAACACACTATTATCGACTCTCATATGATTTCCGAGCAATCAAGCATGGTGGCACCATTTTTGTTGGCCCATTATTTGCATTTATTTGCAGCATTCCAAACAGTGCTCCAAACAGTGTGTCCACACATTTAGGGGTTCTGAAACGGTAAAGGTGGTGGAAAAGCCGCCCGTGACCAGGCGATTCCCATCGGATTTGTGAAGATCCCTGTGGCTGTGAACTACTTCTCTTGGGACGACATGTCAGGTCAGCTATATTGGTGGAGCGGGATATGGCTATGAGTCATAACCCTGGTACCTAGTGAACCACAAAACAGCTGGGATTTATGGATGTTCATCCCATTAAAATTGATACTAATAGGTTTTGACCCATCCCCATATGTCTGAAACGCTCTGAAATATGTCTGAAACCGGAGAAACCCATGAAATAAATCATTCAAAAAATACTAACCCTTGATGGGTTGCATTTCACATTTCGAGCTTCCAACGTCTTCTTTTTTCATCGCTCAAACGCCGTGAAGGCAAAGTCCTTCTGAGCCTGGGAGATGGTTGTGGCCTCAGTCGATATCCGGTACGGTAACATCCCGCAAAATTATCACTTTTAACACTTTTAATAGGTACGATCATGGTAAATCAACAAACAACATAGTCCATGTTCATCCATTTTCAATAGCTATGTTAGTTTACCGGAGGGTATATCTTAAGATTACAGTCACTACTGTCCATCCGCAGTCCATCCCAAGAACTTCTTGTTCCTTTTTTGTTTCTACTATGGACTCCCGGAACATTCACAGACACACACACACACGCACGCAGCGAAATGCTTGTTAATTGACAACACATAGTCAAGTAGAAATAGTTATTTTAAGTCATAGCATATTGACTCAATATCTGTGATTCATAGAATTGGATGATGGGAAAATTTTAACCGGAAAGCCCTTTATTTGATGGTAAAAACCCATGGGTTTCCGGTTAAGATTTTCCCCAACAAACCAATCCAGTGATTGTTGATGTTCTGGCACTTGAAAGATCTACCTGGAGCCTAAAACTCATTCTCTCGAAGGCCATTTCTATGCTGCCGAAAAGACGGATTTAATATGTTATATATTGTTACTCTATAATTCATATTAGTTACATTTTAAGAACATCTTTATTATTTGGAGGCACAATTAATTATGTTATATAATTATATAATGATATTTGGGGGCAAAAAATATAAATTCCTATTAATCAACAGATCATGTTTCGGGACATATCCCATCGCCGGTCAAATCCCCTTGAATCTCTCTCTTTCGATTCTTGGAATCCGTCGACCCTTTGTGACGACGAAATCCCCGATAAAGATTATGGATGTGTCCTGTGATTTATAGATGATTGTCCCATGATATTTTTTTAAAACCTCTATCTATAGAGGATTTGCCAGAAAGGACCTGGTAGGGTCCAGTCTCATTGATCCAAAATCCTCCAAAATCCTCCAAGGATCGCTCCTAGCCTTGAGCAGCCCCAACCTGGACACAGTGAACAACAGCGAGACGTGCGCAGCAAACACAGAGAAATGCTGGGGATAATATTAATCTAGCGATATGACCAGAGCATCACCAAAAATGGGTCTGTGAAGCAACTATAATTAAGCTTCAAAACTGTCTGAGACTTTCTGAGATATGTCACATGTCTTTGATTTGTTTGTTTTTTGGGGTTTGCACATATACATCGTTTGACACTGAAGCGTGATGAAAGAGTGCTCCGACAAAGACCATGGAGCTAGGGGTCGTCCTTTTTGAGACCCCTGGAGTATGGTCCCAATATGGCTATGAGTCAAAACCCTGGTACCCGGATGGTACCCTAAGTTGGTTTATGGATGTTTATTCCCCCAAAATATGGTAATACTATAGGTTTTGACCCATCCCCATATTGCATCCCATCCTTCATGAACGTCAGTAAAAAAGATTTATCCAGAATATCCTTCAGAGGCACCCCCAGAACTCGCAGACCATAATGTGACCAGGTATGAAATTGAGGTGAACTACACGGCTGTGATGCCAGACGTGCCAGAAATCGAGGAGTTGGGTGGCCCAAAGCGTACAGCAAAAATATGCAAAAATAAAAGTACACATTGGTTTGTCAAAAAATGGGGTATACCTTACATCCCCCAAATTGCAATTTGAGCAGAGAACACATTATCATCCATTAGTTGGGGTATCCATTGTTTAGACCAACCCAATCCGCGAGAAGGTCGCTGGTTTCATGGGTGTTACCCCGTCTTTCAGTTGGCCAACTTCAACCCCCACATTTGGTATAGCTGAACAATGTTGAACATCATTGGGCGTCAGAAAGTTCATTCCAGTCATTGATCTTCATCGTAGTTGAAATTCCATGACGACCACAGCGGCTCGTCCAAGGTCGGATGAAGAAGAGGAGGAAGAGGAGGAGGGTGAAGCCCAGGAGGGCGAGGACGGCAGACCCACTGACAGGGTTGGCATTTTTAAGCAGATGATTGATGATAATAGGTGTTCCAAATAAAGAGGAAACTCATAAATTAAGGGTGACGCGATAAATTGGCTTCATGGCTGCCAGGTCCTATCCATTGGTGTGTAAATGTTTGTTTGGTTGGTTCCTGGCTAGCGGCTAGTTATAGTTGTTTGGTGATCATTGAAATGCATATTTCGTATTATTTCGTGCCCAAGTGGAAAATTGCAACTCGTTGAAGGATTTTGACCTATTTTGAAGGGGTATATCTCAGGCTTATCCATGGTTCCATGGCATATCCATGCAGTTTCATCACTCCAGGAGGGCGAAGCGAGCCCCACAGCCACGGAGGCACCCACCGAGGCGGGCACAGTTGGGCACCGGGATGCACCAGGATCTTAGTCGCTGCTGTCATGCCGAACAAGTTGGCACAGGCCGAAGGAGAAGAGGAAGAGGGCAAGAAGAAGAAAAAGAAAAAGAAGGACTGACTCCATCATTTTTCAGAGGGGTAGGTATACCACCAACCTATGGACATGTCCCTTCCATCCATTGGTTCAAACATCTCACTGCACTCTCTGATTCGATGGCTGCAGAAGATCCGTGGGTTTGTCTGAAAATGGATGGGATGTGATGGGATAGGTATCCCCGTTTATCCACGTTTTAAGCCAGCTACGGGCTAGCCAAGGGATAGCCCGACATCGTTTGAATGGGGAAAATCATGATGAATCATCAAATTCGGGGATTTCAAACTTTAAACACATCCAAATCATGGCAAACCCTACATGTCCCACCTCAACATGGTGACGGCTGATGGCTCCTAGGAAGAAAAGCCCAAAGACGATGATGACGACGAGGAAAAGCACGTTGAGGCCAACTGCGATGCTGCGATGTTGGCTGAGAGTTGTTTCCACACTCATTGCATATTGAGACCCTTGGCTCTTGGAGTTCCCTTATGTTTGGACGCATCCAACACTCGGATCATACACATACTCAATATATCTCATTATATCTCTATATATCTCTATAATTCTCTATATACTTCACCGTACTTGCATGTTCAATCCTTTCCCCCACATTGGCTCACTATTCTCATCCGCCGTTCATTTCCTTCCTGGCATGTTTACTTCAAAATACCTCAAATGTCTCATGATGTACTCCGGATTATTGGCCATTAATTATCCAATATTATCCACTCAAAACCGTGATTTCCATATCCATCCACATATCCCATGTTTTTTTTACCTATTTATGGTGATGACTGGGGGATGGTTCATTATTGTTTTAACCACATTAATCTGGGTAAATTATAACGACCTCACTGCGACCTCACTGGAATTATGGTTAGTAATCGGAATTATCCCAGAGAAGCCTTATTTCAGGTTAGTGAATTATTGTAATTTACCCAGATTAATGGAACATATCCATAGCTATAGCGGTTCAGAATTCCCACAATTCCTCCTTTTTTTATCTCCCATGGACAGGTCGTTGTGACCTCGGTGTCGCGGGCGATTTTCATCCCGGGCGACAGTGTGGTGCCCCAGCGATGGGACACCTTAAAGATGGAACAGTTTGGGGAAATGGTATGGTGATTTTCATAGGGATTTAACATTTAAAACATTTAACTACCAACACATATTAAGGCGAATCATGATTTTTGGATATTTTGATCATCTGTGAATTGTCGAAATATACATGTGCCATGTCAAACTCGCGATGTGGAATAGCCAGATGTTCATGAAAAAGAATCTCTCCCCAAAATGTCGAGTTGAACTCCATTTCAACATGTCAAACTCATAGAATTGGATGATGGGAAAATTTTATCCGGAAAGCCCGATCAATTTGATGGTAAAAACCCATGGGTTTCCGGTTAAGATTTTCCCCAACAAACCAATCCAAAATGTCAAACTGATCTCAACCAGGCGACGACAGCGAGCGGAAGGTCATCTTCACCGGCACGGGCAAATATTCGGGCGGCCTTTGGGAGGGCTCCATGGTGGGAGTGGAGGAGCCCGGATGGGACCCCCTGGGGAGTCCTTTTGGGTCAACGTTCCCGGAACATCAAAGATGGGATGACTTGAATCATCCGGAAAAATGAAGAAACATGAACTGGTGGTTGGCTCTGAATTTGATTTTTTAGGGAAAAACCCAGCAAATCTCTGCTGGGAACGTTGTAATGTGGGTTGGGCTTCACATGCGGAGCTGTTTATGGTAGCTTGATGTTGGAAGGGACTTGTATTGTGTGCAAGGTTTGGTCAGACCAGTTGTAATCAGAGTTTGATTTTATGTTTGTTTTGTTTTTTCCCAGTCATTTTTTTTTGACTGGATTTCTTACAAAACAGTCAACTGTTGTTTATTTCAATCTGACAAGACGAGCAATCTACAAGTTGCAAGAGTCCCCAGCTGCCGTGCTACTGTATTTTTCCAGGACTCAACCATGGCTTGCTGAAAAATCATCAATTTAGTTTGATGTGTTTCACACACATACATATATAAATATACGTATATATATATATATTGTATTATATGTATTATATTATACTATATATAATATTATAATATATATATATATATTATATTGTATATCATATTACATTATATATACACGTATGATCATGCAAGTAGAGATGCTCGTTTTTGGGGAAATTCTTCCATGGCTGTTGAGGAGACACGCATCTCAGAGGCCTGGGTGCTGAGAACTGGGTGCTTCTCCATGGATTACCGGTTGGTGGTTTGGAATATGACTGGATGATTTTCCATGATATATGGGATGTCATCCGAAACCCATTGACGAACTCATATTTTTCAGATTAGATTATCCATCTATAGAACTAGCATTACTGTACTATCTATAGAATTTTCTATGTGTGAAGCGACAGGTCAGTCGGTCGGAGTGCGCAGGGTCTCCTTTTTCTTGAGCCATGAACAAAAGAGTGCACATGTCTGTGCGTGTCATCCTTGGCAGGAAGGCCATGCTGCTACAAGTGAATGCGCAGGGGCCATGCTATTCTTCTCCAAAAGAAAAACTTGTTACACTTCTCGATTTCAAGTGTAGGACGACTTGATCATCCACACTCCCCCTTGGTGTTCCACACCAATCTATGAAGTGCCAAGTCGGCCAGATAGGCCTGAAAAATTCCAGGAACATTCCATTGGCTGCTTCGAGCCATTCCAAAAAGAAAGTGAAGAGCGGCTCACATGTCGGCTGATTCATCTTCCGGCCTCGGAACATCAGCATGTTGATGTTGATCAGTGACCACGGAGAAGCTGCCATCACTGGTCTCCTCCTCGGATTCCACGGCCTCCTCGTAGTACTGGTCCTCATCAGTTCCCCCTTCCACAGTAGCTCCATGGAGGAAGTCCCAGAGCATCCCATCGCTGACATCCGAGCGGTTTGATCGCAGATATCGGGTTCTGCGGCCCGTTGGATCCTCTCGAGGACGTCCAGGGTGAAGGTCTGGAGGAAGTGGTGCCTGCAAGGCCCGAAGTGTGGCTTCCCGGACAGATTCTCCTTCGCGGACACTCAATGTCGGCCCATCATTCCATCGATTCACCGGGGCTGGTGTCCGTTGGCACACGTGAGTCCCTGGGGGAAAAACAGTGCGCCTCAAAGAGCTCCTTGTAGGCCCCCACATCGCTGAAGAGCTCGAGGATCCATCCAAAGAACCAGTCGGCCTCACAGCCGGAGCCGCCGATGATGCCGAAGCCGTGGACGAAGGTGGGCCTCTGTAGCCACCAGCCACAGACCAGCTTCCCACAGAGCTGGTCTCACGTGAGACCTGACCAGTCCCCATCGATGCAAAGGCTGCTGCACCACGACCTATGGCATCAACTTGAGCTCTTCTTCCACTTCCCGAAGACCTTCCAAGTTGCCTCGGCATGTTCCACGCCCGCTCGTTGTCAGGCGTCCACACCAACACATCAGGTTGTATGCGGGTCACACTCGAGGAATTGTGTCCATTTTGAGGACTTTCTTCGATGCGAAAGAAAGTCCACCCTCTCCATTGACCCGTCACCGGGGGCTGCGGCGGCACTTGGCCATGGAACCACTGATCCTCCTGCACAGCTCGTTCCCAGCCTCGAGGCCCTGACCACCAGATGACAGAGATCCTTCTGGCCTGCAAGTCTTCGATTCTGACCGGACAGCTGCGATGGATCGGGTGGAACAACCGGCTTCTCAGCGACCGATGAACCCTCACCACCCATCCACCATTGAGGCTGATCCACAAGTCATCATTCGCCGCGTATGGCGGCTGGTTGAACTCCGGAGACTCCCATGGCGTTGGCCCAAGCGGCGGTGCCCGAACAGCACACAAGCGCGGAGCAACCGGGGAGCCCTCGGGGCTACAGTAGGATGAAGTGGGTTCATGGTCCCTCACTTCATGTTGCAATGCAGGTTCATTTTCCCTGGCATCACCTTTGACCGGCCTGGGTTCATGTTCCCTCAGACCCTTTCTTTTTTCGACAGCCTGCTCTGTGGGTGTCCCTTCCCGCAGGTCTGCCGTGGGGCGCCCAATGGCCTTTGGCCCGGCTTTTTTGGGATCTTTTTCACCTCCTATCCATGGGGTGCATTTCAAAGCTAAGTGAGCTACCAAGGCCGTGATGGCCATCAACCTAGCTACCTTGGCTGTTTCACAGGTCGGCTCCCAAGCTGCCAAACCCACCAAGCCACTGACCGCAGCTATCGTGCTAGCTAAACCACTACGAGCAGAGCTCTTTGGCTCCACTCCATCGCCCTCCAGCTTTTGACCAGCATTGACCACCATGCCCATGAAGTCATAGAACTTCTGCCAAGCCGAAGGTGAAGTGACCGGCTTCGTCAGCAGGTCTGAGGCCAGCTCGCTGCCAGGAAGATGACGCGCCTTCCAAAGACCCCATTGAAGACGTTCACGGAGAACATAGCTTCTAAGGCGAAGATGTCGGGTACGCCAAGGCCCATCAGGAGCCTCCAAGAGCTTCAAGCCCGACATGCTATCCCCATACAGAACTCGTTCACCTTTTTCACACAGCTGGTTGTTCTCCAAGATCTCCACGATTGATGAAATTGATTCACCAAGCACCAGACCATCGCAGTAGCCCAAAAGCTCAGACTCCGTTGTACTGAGCACACAAAATGGCTGTTGCCGCGAGTCCCACTGCACCGGTGAACCTCCATAAACTGCCACCAAGCCTTGATGACCACGTTGGCACTGAGCACCCATAGCCGCATCGCTAAAGACCTCCAAGGTGAGCATGTTGCGCTGGAAGGCCAAGCTACCCCCAGAGCCAAAACCACCTTCACATCGGCTCATATCGGCTGTTGCACTCAGATAGCCCAAAGTGTGACGGCCCAAGGAGAGCACCCTACGAGGGCACCTTGTAACATGCCTGCCCAGCCATGACGTTGCAAAGCTCAAGTCAGGTCTGGATCTACAAGCGGCGCAAAGGAGTTCTCCTACCAAAGTCTGTGCTGCACGGACATCAGAGATTTGTACGTTCTCCTCAGGCGTCTCATCCAACGTGCCCGGGAGTGGCGTTGACTTTGGCACCAAGTCCTCATAGCGACTGAGCAAATCCCTGATGCAAGACCTCTGAGACAAGAGGATAGCGTTCTCCTTCTTGGTGAGCTCGTACCCGCAAAACTTGGACCACTCACCCTCCTTCACCCATTCTGGACTGGAGCACTTCCATGTTCGCTGAACCTCCTCCAAGAACCCAGTCATGACCCCGACCTCGCCAACAGCCAGGACGTCGTCCACATAGAGGGCCACAAAGCCATAGGCTCGATCCAGATCCTCATAGGACTGTTTGACCATTGAGTTCTCCTTGAGGACCACCTTCCACAGGTTCGGCTCAGGCGTTTGGATCAGTTGATATCCAGCTCCCTCCAGATTCCATTGAAGCTTGGACAACACCGAGTTTCGATAGTGTCCCCAATCCGAAGGCGAAGAGGTGAGTCCATACATTGCATGCTGGATTTGCCAAAGTTCGTCACTGCCACAAACTCCGGCATCGACCAAAACCTTTGGAGGCTTCATCACCAGAAGCTGGCGTTCTGATTCCCTCCTTGGTGCCAACAAAAAGGCTGTAGCCACATCTAAGCTGGCCACACCCCAGTTCTCACAGGATGCCTTCTTTACCAAGCACCGCAGCAATGCTCCATCGGCCCCCCCGGCATATGTGCTGTAAGGCGAAGTGGAGGGTTGTGGACCATCAGCAGCCGGACCATCATCACCAGGACCAACTCGTTCAAGACGATTTCCACACACCACCACCCGAGCCTTCTTGCGCCCATTTGGAGCCTTAATTGTTGGAACAAGCATCGCTGGGGCCAACTCCATGGTGTGATACAGAGGATTTTTGCGAAGCTCTGCATCCGTTGTTGGGCGGATTGCCCCCGTTCCCGTCAGAGAACCATATTCTGCCTTCAAGGCAGGCACCCAAGCATCCAAATCTCGTTTGACCTGCTGCAAGGGGACCGTATAGGTTTGGAGAACTGGTTGAGGAAGCTCTGCAGGAGGCCCATCGGTTGAAGGTGTTGGCAAAGACAATGATGCCAACCGATGCTGATGAAGACAAAGATGCTGCTCCTCCAGGTGGGCTTCTCGGATCACCAGCTCCGTCTCAAGCTCTTCTAAGACCCGGCCCTGTTTCATCCCTTCATCTTCACCGACAGCCACCTTCCGAAGCTCCTCCATCCACAGAGACTTCAACGCCCCGTGCTCCTCCACCTCGATCTCATGGAACAACTCAGCCTCGGCCCAAGAGCAATGTTGAAGAGGCTCAGTATGCTCCCCCGGAACTACCATCTCTCCAGGAAAGCCCAACTCCAACCGCTCACCACAGAAACCACAGTTGCCACCATGCTCATCATCATCGGAGTATTCAGCCACCCCGACATACTCAGACACTGCAAAGGGTTTTTGGACCTCCACATTCTTTGAAGCGTCGAACCCCTCAGAAACCTTCAAGGCCTTCACAGCGGCCTCATCCACAATCTCGTAGTCCCCAAAATGCCCACATTGAAGCGGTTGGCGAAGACCACAGTTTGAACACTCCACCATGCCACAGTCAGAGCCACTCGAAGGGGATGCAGTTGAGGAAGACAAGGAGGATTTTGGGTCAAAAACTTTTCCTTTTTCTTTTTGATTTTCACCTCCAACAGTCTCCCCCCCTGCCCGCATCTTGATAAGGGCAGGTCCAGCTAGCTCCGCACGAGGCTGCTCAAACAACAGCGGCATAGCTCCTTGAAGAGGATGAGGATCATCGGACTGTTTTCCAATCAATCTCCTCCCCCGATTTCCGCGACCACCACCAGCATCAATTTGACGAAGCTCCAGCTGTGCCTCATCACCATCAGGATCCGGGATAATGGCCGTCCGGACATGCGTCACATTGTGCTCATCCTTGGTGATCCATCCAGTTGACATAAAAGGTGATGGACCAAGAAGCTGCATCGACCTGAAAGGATTGGACAAAGGTTGGGCCCGGCGATGCCATCTTTTCACCTTCACCGCTACTTGAGCACCAAACCTCAGCATTGGCTTCATCGAAAGCCCAAGACGTTGAACTTGAAGACGGAACCTCTCTTCGGCCGCATGTCGGGCCGCACATGGCCACAGTGCAGCATCTACACCAGACTCATGAAGCATCAGCCTCAAGCGTCTTTTCAGCTGTCCAACCTCAACCTCGCACCGGCCATTGGCTGCCGGGTCATCACCGGACGTCATCGTCTGGACCAGCTGGCGCTGCTCGCGCCACCGCTGCACTTTGGCATGAAGAAAAGACTTTTCGCGGTCTGTGTGCAGCCGCATGACATTGATCCCCAGCATCCGGTATTTGGCATGAAGTTTGGACATCGCTGCAACCAGATGGTCCACATGTCGAGATTGGACCGGTTCCATCAGCGTCACATTTTGAACCGATGCAGGTTCAGCCATCTCCTCAATGTTCGCCTTCTCATTCAAGGCGTTCACCACGTCCTGCTCCACATCCTCCACCGGCTCCTCTGGTTCTTCTTCTTCTGGATGTTCAGGAGCCTCTTCAACATCTTCTGGCTGAAGATCAGGGATTTCATGTGCCACTGGAAGTTCATGTAGTACTGGAATTGGAACAACCGCCACCATCATGTACCTGCAAGACTTCCCGGTTCCCAGATCTCGCCCAACTTGGTATGGCCCTGCCAAATCCAGAGACATAGTGAAGGATGAAGAAGCATTGTGGCTTCTTCGATGAGGATGTGAAGTGCCCATTGATTCCAGGCACACCCTGCAGTCCTTCCTGAAAGGAACATGCTGCTGTCGAACATGCTTCCGCCATGATGCCATATCCAGTTTTCGAAGTTGTGGATCTGATCTAACTTCAGTTCCATGGGCATCCAAAATGTCCAGATACATCTTGAGGGACTCCTTGACCGCAGCCACCAAACCTGGACTCCATTCCGCCCATGACTTTGATGCCAAAATCCTTTCACCGAGCCCACCATGAATCGCAGTTGTGACACCTCCACCTCTAAGTCCTGCCAGTTGAGACATCTCCGGCAAGTTGGTGACAATGCCAGTTGGTTTCCTCCTGCGATGCCCGGTTTGACCTTGGTCGAAGGCAAAGTAGATCAGGCCCTCCTTCCCGACGAACTGCTGGACCTCCTTGAAGTTGAAGAAGCTCGGACAAATCTTGGCTTCCTCCTCATCCTCCAAGTAGTCCTTGGGATCCTCGGGGGACTCCATGAAAAAACCAGTTGGCTCCATTGGCAGAGTCCGGCATTCATTTGACTTCACCCACAGCGCCATGTGCTTCAACATCAGCGCGCTGTCGCTGTTGACAAGCTCCAACTCGAAGGGATCCAGGTGATCCAGGTGCCACCGCTCATCATCTCTTCCACGGAGACGCCTGGGGCCACCGATCACAGCCTTGATGTAGCCACCCTCTGCAAGCTTCCACAAATAAGCCCATACTCCAGGATGGTGTGTGTTGAATTGGGAACCCATCGCGGTGTCTACACAGATGCACTGGTAGCTCCCCCAGTTCTCCTTGGTCCAAACCGATGGATCTGCCCCAGAGAACAAGTGCACCACCACGCCCTTTCCTTGACGATGTCCCCGACGCTGCCTTCTATTCCAAGGGCATGTCCACACCATTGGATCCACCTCTTCTGGGACTTCCGGAAAGTGCTCCTTCCACCAGATGCGCTCCGTCTCCTTGAGGTACATGCCCAGCTTCTCCTCCGTCTCAAAGCGATGCAACATTTCCAGTGCTTCCGCTCTCGGCATAACTGGACACCCTTGTCTCATGGAGCAATTCACCTGGCCATACGTTGGATGGGAGATGCGACAGCCTTCCGTTTTCCACACCACCCTGTAGCCCTTTGACACCAGCAAGTGAAGAGGAAGAATTGGTTCCACCTCATGCAAAGACAACAAAGTTTGATGATCCTTGGAGCGATACAAAGTTGTAGAACCACTGGCAAGCTCCACCTCGACTGCCACAAGGCCCTCAAGCTCATCCACCCGAGCTCGGCGAAGTGCGTGAGTGGCACCACCATCCAGTAGTGCCCATTGGCCCACACCAGAGTTCTCGTCCAAGATCACCTGCTTCAGCTTGATCGATTTGACGCTCCTCAAAGACTTGAGAAGGCTTGCAGCCTCCTTCATCAGATCTGCCGCCGTCTCCTTGGGAGCTTCTTGAACTTGAGCAGGAGCAACAGAAACCGGAACCTTCACAGGCTCTTTTTCAGCTGCAACCCCATCCGTTGATGCCCCTTTGATCTCATCCTGTGCAACCACCTTGGCGACCTTCTCCCCCTGAGCTGCACCAGGACTACCCTTCTCCGGAGTCATCCTTTCCTTGATCTTACTGACCCTTCTCGGCGTTTTGGTATCGCCGCCGTTGATGCCACCCAAAGCTGTTTTGTGAGGACAATCCTTTTTGAGGTGATTTGAGCCCCCACATGACCAACACCGGCCACGCATTCCTTCCATGTCATGCTGAAAGGTGCAAGCCGCACCCCGTTTGCAACCCTCATCGGTTTTCCAGTATCTACATGGACCCTTTGTGCTGGTTGATGCCGGCAAAGTTGAAGAACCATCCTGACCGGCCACTTGAAGAGCCTTCAAAACTGGAGCAGCCGTTGGTGCCGTAGAGAACATCTTTGAGTTCGTCACCAGCGCCAATTCCTCAGCTTCTGCCTGCAGGACCTCAGCATAGTCCCTCACCGCCTCCATCGTCGGCCGGGTGTCCACCATGAGCTCCTGCCTCACCGCTGAGATGCGATAGCCCACCTGAAGACCACCAACCTTGGCCAAAGCGTCCGCCATGCGACCCAGCACCGACGAAAGCACCACAGGATCAGGAAGAGCCAAACGTAGCTCTGCAGCCCGACCCAACAGCCTCCTCCACTGACGAAGCCCTCCAAGAAGGTCCACCACTGACGACCCGATCTTTGGCTCAGTCACCTGCTTGAGAAGTGCTGCCGTTTCCACTCCACCACCAGGTTGATACACCGTGAACATTCGAAAAAGGATTCCAGTTGATGTCAAAGTTCTGGAAGCCACCAAGTCTCGCTTGATCATCTCAGGACAAGCCGCCAGAAGCATAGACACCCCACGCTGTTCAACCCGCTGGAAATCCACAGGAAGAAGAACATCCCCAGGACGTAGACGTAGTCGATCCACTGGGCCAGCGACCAACCACCTCTCGTAGAACGTCTCCACCTGCTGCAAGACAAAGAGCCACCAATCCCTTGAAGTCGCTCCGATGTCCGACATTTGTGGACCGGCAAGTGCAAGCCAGTCTCCAAAGGCAGTGAGGCCCCTTCCGAACCAGGTACAGGTAGAGGAGGAAGCTCGTAACTCTTCAACGACTCCCCATGTCCACCTTGAACACCACCTTGAAGAAATCCCCGTTGATCCAAGCCCGGAGGAGAAACCACTCCTTGAAGACCTTGACCCGGAGTTCCATTCACTGCAGCTCCACCATGAATTGGAGTTGCCATCGAAGCCAAGCCCACGCGATCCCCTCTGGACGGTGTTGTACTCGACCCCAAACCCGCTCGATCACCTTGAGCCGCATGAGGAGCTCCTTGATCACCACCAGACGAAGCCGAGTGATAGGACCTTGAATCCGTCCCACCCTCACCCTTCAGCTTTCTGATCTCCATCTTGAAGTTCTCCTCAGCCTCACGTAGGACCCTCTGTCTGATCCTTTCCAACTCACCTTCATCCAAGTCCAGGCCAGACCGGCCACTCCCCGCAGCATCCATCACCGGTTGCAAGCTACGAGCAAGGTTGACGTCACTTGGAAGACGTCCTTGACCAGAAGCGAACACATCTTTCTTCGCCTCTGAGCTCCGGAAGGGATTCACATCACCGGACCCCCTTCTCACCGTCGTTTGACCGTCCAAGGCTAGTAGACGATTTCCTTGATCGCCTCGTTGCACTTGGTCAGAACGTCCATGTTGAAGTTCACCAGCCAGTAGAGCTCGATGTCCAACACTTCCCGGACCTTGAGGTACATCTTGAAAAAGTGGCGCCAACATCCCAGAAGGTGCAGGAGGAACTGGACCAAGCTCCAAAGGAAGACTCACCGGCCTGGTCATTTCACGACCACGGCTCCCATCTCCTCCAGCTTCAGCTCTTCTCCCACCAGCAGCCAGCGTTACACCCCCTGCTCGTCCAGTCTCATCTCGACGACCTTCCGAAGCTGATGCCGCTGCCGCCTCATTCCCTTCAGGGACCATCTTCAGCCTTCTCATCTCAGGCTGCCGCTCTTCTGCAGGAGGTGAAGACTTCGCCCTCTTCTCCATGGCTATCAGTCTCTCCAACCTCTCATCTGCGCTTTCGGCTCTGAAGTGCCGTCGCCGATGCATCGACATGGCACCCAAGAGCCTCAGTGGACCCTTGGGCTCATAACCTGTGAAGCGACAGGTCAGTCGGTCGGAGTGCGCAGGGTCTCCTTTTTCTTGAGCCATGAACAAAAGAGTGCACATGTCTGTGCGTGTCATCCTTGGCAGGAAGGCCATGCTGCTACAAGTGAATGCGCAGGGGCCATGCTATTCTTCTCCAAAAGAAAAACTTGTTACACTTCTCGATTTCAAGTGTAGGACGACTTGATCATCCACACTATGAATTCTTTCACGATAGACGATGGTCTAACGATTAATATGTGCGTAACTGAGCAGTTCATTATGGAAGGATATGGAAGAAAACCTGAGGCTTTTGGTAGTTTTATCATGTGAAAATCACTTTGAGATGCAGCTATTTGAGGTTTCAGTTTGGAGTTTGAGACCTTTGGAATATGTCAGACCAAAGATGTAATTCCAATAACAGCTATGATGACAAGACATCATAATGATGTACTAGTACCAAACCAAGAAAAACATTACTAGTAACCATCAACATATCATTATTGATAGTGAATGATCTATTTTCATGCATACGTATACTACACACGTGGTTCTTCGTTAAAATCTCACAAGTGCTCCACAGTGACCCGGATGGCGCCAGGTTCCCTTGACGGAGTGCTTGCCGCAGACGGTGTCCTGCTTGCTGCGCAGTAAGATACCGCAGAATGTACAGGCGACGGCTGGAGCTGGAGAATAGATGAGCGGTGGTCTGTTTTAAACATCGTAAAAGGATGCTAATGCTAAACGTCAAATGATGGAAATAATGCGTCATCACGATATGTCCATAGGATAGGCAACAGAATTGCTACTCTTGATTGCGCGGTTGGTTTGAACCATTTTGGATCCATAAAATAAACAAACACAAGATTATACATTGCAACCATACTGTTTATGTTGATCCCAGCAATATAAAGTAAGATAATTCACAGATGTAAGAGCTCTTGATTGAGAGCTTGTTATGGATGGAGGGGATCCCTGTCACTGCTTGGATTCAAAGCTACTGAATATGATGTCAGTTGGTTGCTTCAAGGCTTAGAGCCATGGCTGCTTTGAATTCCCGGTTTCTTGCGGATCTACCCCACAAAAGCTCAGCACTTTCCAGAGGAAAACCATCCCAAAAAAAAGAGAACATCTAGCCTAAGCTGCTGGTGCTGAATGTGGATTTCCCATAATTTTCTCCCCCCAAAAAAACGGTGCAACGAAATCTCCACATCTGCGATCCTCCCAACATTTGTCCCCAGCAGTGATCTTCCAGGTGACGCACTTGTCGCTCTCACCAGCGCTGAATTGGATCATCCTCGGCTTTGCAGACGGGTATCTCGACCGGTTGGTGAAGAATCGTCGGATGAGTTTAGTGTTGGTGGCTGTTAATGATTGTTAATGATTCTTAAGTATATATATAACATTTTGCTTGAGATGTTGCGATGATATACACATATTATAATAATATGAAGAAGTAATATGTATAGTACATAACTAGTGAATATTAGTGATGTGTCATGCGTTGAACAATGGTTAGTACATTGCATTTCCACGTGCATGTCACACATTTGAAGATGGATCGGTTTCTCCTGGAAGACTTATTAATCCGTGTGCGACAGACTTCATCAGCTGACCGACTGGAATGGTTGAAGTACAGGACACTATCAGCTATGCATGATAGGTAAATGGATAGGATAGGCTAAGCTAAGATGAGTTTTTGAAGCAGTTCTCACTTGGCTGTTGACAGTTTCCCAAAAAATTGGGACCCAAAAATGTTTCGCAAGCCTAAAGTCGCAAGCTCTATTTGTTTCAGTGGAAATCATTTTTGACCTCAGGGTTCCTGTGTCGTTTTCACCGAGGCGTGTTTGGCTGGTGCCTCGCGTTCATGGTGGCACCTTTGCTTGCGTGCACGTGTCGGACGGAATGAGTGGAGCTGCAGGGATGCTCGGAGCAGGATGCCACAGTCATCAGAGATTTTGAAGGGAAGAATGCCCTCTGGTAATTTAACATAACTGATGGGAAAATCACCATTTTTAATGGGAAAATCCACTATTTCAATGGTCATTTTCAATAGCTATGTTAAATTACCAGAGGGTAATACCCTCTGGTAAACGAACTAACATAACTGATGGGAAAATCATGGAACATTAATCACCATGTGAAACATATGTCATAGGGAAATCAACTATTTCGACTGGGCCATTTTCAATAGCTATGTAACAAATTACCAGAGGGTATGTCCAACTGCAACTCACGCTCACAATAGACAGGACATTGAAGTAGAAGGGTGGTGAATGGATTTTGGATGGATTTTGCTTATTGAAGGTTTATCATCCCACTTATAGTGGATTTTCCCATTTATAGTGGATTTCCCATTAGGATAAACCATTGAAGCATCCCCAAAATTCTGATGGTTTATCATCCAAACCATTGACTCGGTGGGAAATTTGGATTAGAAGATCCGTTTGAAGGTTGTAATTCCCGACTAAATCAGTTTGGATATTGACCATCCAAAAAGAAACTACCATCTGGTTATGACTGACATAACCGATGGGAAAATCATAATTTTCAATCGGTAAACCCAGGTAAAGCATCTATTTTCATGGGCCATCACCATGGCTATGTAACAAATAACCAGAGGATAAGTCATGTTTTTCTGGCAGATTCCTGACCAAGTCGTCCCAATCCAGGTGAATTCCGTGTCCATGCTGGAGGATGAGTCGATGTAGGGATCCCAGTTAGAGACTGGCTGTGTCGACTCAGGGGCCCCAGAATGAGGATGGACTATGATTCTATGATGATATACCATCTGGTTATTTGTTACATAGCCATGGTATAGATGGCCCATGAAAATAGATGGTGTACCTATGTTTACCTATTACAAATGGTGATTTTCCATGGCTATGTTAAATAACCAGATGGTAATAGGTCTGGAGAATGTTTTGTAAATAGTCTTGCAAGAAAGAAGTGTGATTTGCGATCCCCTATAGTGGAAACAGATGCCAATTCAGACCTCTTGTTCAAGAGGGAACTGGTTTCAAAGACTTAATGCTAGACCAAGTGTTGGAGTTCAAGGGTTTAGATGAGATGAACATTAGCCCAGAATCTGCGACCGCAGCTGGCGCCCAGTCCAAACTGTCACAATAAATGGTGAGTTTGATAAGATCACCAGGGGGCACTGTTGTAGTTATTATGGTAGCATTTCATACTTAACCCTCAATCTGCCCATTGAAAGGGTATGATTCGTATCAAGAATTTCGATTCAAAGGCGCTCTTGTGGGTGAATCGATGGCCTTTTGGCCATTTCAGACCGGTCTTTCCAATATGCAAGTGGCATCCATCATGGTCGACAAAGTGGGAATTGGGAATCCCCATCAAACAATCATCAGAAGGATTTTCTGATGTCCTGGACCACTGCTAAGATGTTCCATTCAGCATCCCTCATTTTTTCTTGGTTCACATCATCCCAGGATCTTCGGAGATACTCCTTTGCTGGCCAATTTGGCATCTACCATCTGGTTATTTAACATAGCCATGGAAAATCCCTTATAAATGGAGGTTTTAATAGGAAAATCATCTATAAATGGGCTATTTTCCATGGCTATGTTAAATTACCAGAGGGTAAATATGGTAGTTTGCCCTGGTTCGTAAGTGGGGCACCCCACCCCATTCAGAAATTCGCCTATAGGTTGGATGAAAGAACCGACTTACGACCGCTGGGGTGAAACACTAAAAGTGGCTAAATTGCACCACTAGAATTAACTGCTTTATTTTTATGTTTTCTTTATTTTAAGATATTTCGGGCGCCCATCCCCCATCTTCAGACATACCCGAATATACTGTTTTTCTTTACAGTATAAGTTATATATATATATAATATGTTAGTATAACATATATATGTATATTATATCCCACATAAATATTCAAATCCACATAATCATGTTTTTATCCACGTAAAAGATGCTGGATTTTATACCATACTTTTCTAGCACCCCAGAAGAAAAGATCGAAGATATAGAAATTGGGTAACATCCTAATTTACATCAATGAATTGAACATAAATCCCACTTAGTCACTGTTTTAAACGCTAAGATTGTGACTGGTTGGTGGTTTCAAACATTATAGGGACATGGGCTCGAGGATCGAGCAAGTGAAGTAGTGTGTTCGCCATGTGCGGATAAAGCGATGGCGGCGACAGTCAGGAAAGCACACCTGAAAGACCAGAAAAGAAAAGAGAAAGAGGAGGGGAAAGAAGCAATTCTATTAGATGGTGACGAGAACGATGAGAACAAGCAGAAGACACCACAGAGAAGGGCCATCGAGTTTGGAGCAGAAAGAGAAGAAGACATCGAAATGAATAAGAAACCGGCAGAGACAGAGACAAGAAAAAAAACTGAGCACAAGACGCATCTGGGGCGCCAAAGGCTCCACCACAGCACAGGCACTGTATGAAATCGCAGAGACACCACAGAGAGTGAACACAACCACAACCACGACCACGACCACGACCACGACCACCACCACCACCACCACCACAACCACAACCACAACCACAACAACTACCACAACCACAACCACAACCACGACCACGACCACGACCACGACGACGACCACGACCACGACCACGACGACGACCACGACGACGACCACGACCACGACCACGACCACGACACGACGACGACGACCACGACGACGACCACGACGACGACGACGACGACGACGACCACGACACGACGACGACGACCACGACGACGACACGACGACGACCACGACGACGACGACGACGACGACGACGACCACGACGACGACCACGACGACGACCACGACCACGACCACGACCACGACCACGACGACGACGACCACGACCACGACCACGGACCGACACGACGACGACGACGACCGACCACGACCCGACCACGACGACGACCACGACGACGACCACAACCACGACGACGACGACGACCACGACCACGACCACGACCACGACGACGACGACGACCACGACCACGACCACGACGACGACCCCTCTCAAGGCCCCGCCTCAAAGGGCCCACGGGGGGAGGCAGACGCAGGGCTGAAAGGGGCCAAGTCTGACCACCACCCAGCCCTTCTTTGTCTGGAACCTCACCTCCACGGGGGTACCAGCCGGTAAACCGCCATACGCGCGGCCTGGGTGATGTCTATCGCATCTTTAAACATGTCTGGCATTCTGCCAATTCTGTCTGGCATTCATCTCCTGTAGCAGTTCTTGTGTTTCTTGGGTTACATGCCTCTTGGATTTTCGGTCTGCCTGTGTTGCGTTGGTGTCGGAGGTCGTGGTCGTCGTCGTGGTCGTGGTCGTGGTCGTGGTCGTCGTCGTGGTCGTGGTCGTGGTGGTGGTTGTGGTTGTGGTTGTGGTTGTGGTTGTGGTTGTGGTTGTGGTGGTGGTGGTGGTGGTCGTGGTCGTCGTCGTGGTCGTGGTCGTGGTCGTGGTTGTGGTTGTGGTTGTGGTTGTGGTTATGGTTGTGGTGGTGGTGGTGGTGGTGGTCGTCGTCATCGTCGTCCTCGTCGTCCTCGTCGTGAGAACATCAGTCTCAAAATCAAAATCACGTGACAGGGACCATAACAATGTGCCCTGATACCATGGGTCTCACCACCCTCAGCCTACAAATGAAGCATGACTTGGAACACTCAGATCGACTGGTGCCAGCTCAGCAGACCAAATCGACAACCAGCAAGAAGCAATGACACGGCAAATACAGAAGCTGACAGACATAGCAGAAAGACACGAGGATGAAATTGATGACCTACGAGCAATGCAAGACTTCACCCACGAGATTGTTTTCGAACGTGAGCAGAAAGACAGCAAACTCAAGATTATCATAAAGTCTTGGCCAGCAACAGCATCGTTTTATGACAGAGTGAGAGTCACAGACTGGCTCTTACAGCAAGCACAGGTGCAAGACCACACAAAGCAAGAACATGGATACTACACAGCCAGCAGAAAATTCACACTGTCACCGGTCACAGTGCTATCCTTCACAGATCAGGATACGCAGCAACGATTTGAAAAGTATGCATACACGAGCTTCTCCACAACATGGCCTCTGCACTATTGGGATGCCCATGGCAACCGTCTGAGTCATTGGAAGGGAGGATGGCACAAGCTGGTGATAACCAAGTACCTGAGCAAAATAGACCTCACCATCAACATGACGCTGATGACAGCCATGCAAATCCTCACATCACAGCAGGACACAGGCTACACAGGCACAACACACCTTTCACACAGAACTAGCGACAAACAACTCTTCAACCTCAACGCAAAACAAGTCATTGCAAAAGCAACTTATGACAAAGACCGAGGTGTGATTGCAATCGTAGCAGAAGAGCGCCATGTTGAGATCCTCAAAAACCACTGGCGTGACGGGTGGAAAACCGCACACAAGGATCACCCAAGATATCCTGCATACAGCAAATTCCCATACGCAATCACATTCGCAGCTGCCAGGCTAGAAGAAGAAAAAGAAGACAGAGAGGAGTGATTCAGTTTACCCTCAAAAGAAAAGAGGAGATTCACAAAGAAGAAAAGGCAACAACTGAGGCAACAACATTTGTGGCAACAATACTCCAGAGGCAATAGCCGCAGGAGTCAAAACACCCATTTACAAAAACATCCCCCCCCTCACTCGTTTCACTTGCCTTCCAGTAGGCACCCCGGGACAGTGCCCAAAGGGCTGACTGAGAAAGCTCGGAGTCGTGTATCCCAAACTCAGACCTTTTATTTCAATAATAGACATGCCAATGCCTTGAAAGAGAAACGGGCGCAGCGTAGAAGAGCCTGCAGATACTACAAAAGGACACGACTCTGGGACCGAGCCAGGCAGGTAGCCAAGGTCGTTTTGCGTGAAAGCAGCCTTTCAAAAAGAGAGGCTTTAACTAGAAACACAAAACAGAAAACCTGGAAGAAATCCAAGAAGTGGTTTCAGAAAAACCTCATGAACCACAAGCTAAAATTCCGAACATTTTTCGCAGAGCTGAGATCTAACCAGCTTTCTGGACAGACAGGTGATTTATTGAATTGTAGGAAATTTTCCAAATATTTCCGTAGCTTGGCAAATCAGCAGATCAGAGTTGCCACGTTGAATGTTCGGGGCCTTAATCAACCTACGAAAAAGGAGTCCTTAATTCATATAATGAAAGAACACGGGTATGAAATCCTCTTGATGACAGAAACAAATGTAAATATAGGTTGTGTTGAGACATGGGATGGCTATACTGTATTCTACAGTACAAGTATTGACCAGAAAATCAGAGAAAGGGAGCGAAACAAAAGAGAAAATGCCGTTGCCTCTGGAGCACGGCAATTGGACCCAGGGACCAGCCATCGACTTGCTGAAGATTTTGAGCATGCAGGGGTAGGCATTGTCATTAAGAATTCTCTCATAAATTCTATTAAACATGTCCGACAAAGAAACGGCCGCATTATTTCTATAACATTTTCATGTAGTGGATATGATGTTACCATGATATGCGCCTACGCCCCGCACAGCGGACACGCAACTGAAACGAAGGAAGAGTTTTACGCTGACTTATCCGAGGAAATTGCATGTTGCCATGGTAGGTTCTATGTAGGTGGGGACTTTAACGCTAGAATCCATTATGTTCGTGAGCATGACACTGTTGTATGTGGACCCTTTATACTTGGAAGAGGTATGGAATACTTAAACACTATGAACGAACAAACAAAAGAAAGTAGGGCTCTGTTTCTAGGATGGTGCAAGATGCACCACCTCTCAATTTTAAACAGCCAGTTCTCGAAACCTGCTGAAAAATTACTTACTTATAAAGAAAAATTCAACAGTTCTGATTTTGGACCTCCTTTTGATGCTGAACGGTATGCGCAAATTGATTACTGGCTGACAAATTCGGCGTGGAAAAATTCATGCACAGATGCACAAAGCCGGCGAGATATCCCTTTTGACTCAGATCACGTAGTGGTAGAAGCACGGTTCGAGATGAAACCTTCTCCGCGCACGCCAGAACCAAATTCTTCCAAAAAAAATTCTAAACCCTCACAGGAGCAATGGTGCTTATTCAATGATGATTGTTCTAGGTTGTTTGCAGAACAACCGTTGTGTTTGCAAAAGTTTGTTGCAGGTATCTTGCGTGCGGCAGAGACAAATCTGGCACTCGTGCCGGTCGGAAAGAAGAAATCTTATATTTCAAACTCCACATGGTCCAAAATTGAAGGAAGAAATCAACTTAGGAGAAGCGGGGCTTCCGCGCGAGAGGTAAGACAATTAAACAAGGAAATCTACAAACGGGCGCGGGTAGATTGGCAAAACAATTTGATTGAGCAGTTCAATGAAAACCCAAACGACCTTCACAAAAAAGGTTTATGGAGGGCAGTGAAAGGATTAAAAAGGAAATTTACACCGCAATATGTACAGATGAAAAACGCTCAAGGTAACCATGTACCGGTCGCACAGAGGGCGCAAGCCATCGCTGAATATTTGGAAACGAAACATTGGTATAATGATCTCGATACAGGCATGCCGGACAATACACCGATCCTAGAGAATAACGGAGCTGATGCAAATCTGTTTAGCATTGAAGAATTAAACGCGGCCCTTAAGTTTTCAAAAAATAATAAACAACCTGGCCCAGATGGCGTGCAAATGGAACTGCTGAAATGGCTTAACTTGGAAAACCGACAGTGCCTCCTAAACCTTATCAATAGCTGGTGGTTAAGTAAAAAAACGCCCAAAGAACTCTTTTTGGCAAGGGTTGTCCCAATTTTCAAAAAAGGGGACACAGATAACGCTGCAAATTATAGGCCCATATCTCTATTAAGTAGCATTTACAAAGTGTATATGATTATGATACGCCAGAGAATGCAAAACGCTATTGAATCACACCTTTCCAACACACAATATGGTTTTCGACCTCAACGATCCACGTCGCATGCTATCCACGTAATCCGACGAATCCAAGATTTCGCTGAGGCAAAAGGATCCCGATTAAGTTTAGCTCTTTTAGATTGGGAAAAAGCCTTTGATAAAGTACAACATGACAAATTGATAATGGCGTTGAGAAAGATGGGTTTCAGTCAGCACTATTGCGATATCATCCAAAACTGCTACGAAGAACCTACCTTCTTTGTCAAGGATGCATTTGGTACATCTCAGATCAAACGACAATCTTCTGGTATCAGGCAAGGATGTCCATTGTCCCCCTATCTTTTTGTTATTGTTATGTCATGCGTAGATTTCGAGATACGGATGAATTCAAGCCGTTGGGTGCAAAATGGCAGAATTCCAAACCTGGATTTCGATATGATATAGTATACCGACGATACGATTATTTTTTCTACAGACAACAGGGCCTTAAATGAATTGTTAAAACTTACTGAATTATTTTCCGGCAAATATGGACTGCGTCTGAACAAAGATAAATGCGTGGCAATTCAAATGAATAATGATGGTGTGGTCCACTTTGAAAACGGCGAACCGCTCCCCAAAAAATTCGAAACAACTTATCTAGGAAACGAGCTTAACAGAGATGTCAACATAAAACACGAAATCCTCAACAAAATGCAGGAAGTAAGGAAAACTTGGTACAAACTTCTACCGTACTGGAAGGCAACAAATGCAAACGTCAAATGGCAATTACTCATATTTGATGCGGTTATCCGATCCAAATTGTTGTACGGTCTTGAAACAGTCCATGTGACTGGCGCTATTAAGAAAATTGATGCCTTCCACATGCGGTGTTTGAGGAGAATCCTCAAAATCCCCTCGACTTTCATTGATAGACGATATTCTAACAGAGTCGTTCTGCAGAGATGTACAGAAATCCTCTTCGCAAATCAAGGCGATCAACGACAATTTGAAATATTCAGCCAGTCTTACTTACACAGGAAATCCAAATTATTGGGTCATGTTTTTCGAGCAGGCCCAGAAGACCCCATGCGTCAAATATCTTTTCAACCCTATAGTGCTGTTAGGCCACAATATGGCAGAAAACGAGTTGGTCGCCCAAAGCAAAATTGGCTGCATTACGCAAAAAAACATACCTTTGAACATATTTTACGTGGCTATGACTACTTGGAATCACCTGATGAAGACGCACGGATATATAATGCAGCCATAAACAGGACATTCTAGGTTGCCCCACGGACCTTCGGCTACGCCCACGCCTTGCGTTGACATTGACTAGTTTTCAGTGCAGGGTACGGCTGGAAAAAGAAAATGGGATGTCATCCTTCCCATTGACGAACTCCATCATTTTTCAAGATGGGCACATTGCACCACCAACCAGTAATTATGATATCATATCATATCCATTCATATCCAATTAATCCACCATTTAACCACCATTTAACCACCATTTAACCACCATTAATCCACCATTAATCCATCATCCTTGATGAAGTGAAGCGGTTCTTCCAAGGGGGTCCCCCTCTGGGGAACCGCTTTGGGTGTCCCTCGACAGTCCCGGGGACAGGATGTTGGTGGCCGCCGGCGACGGCTCCTTGGTGACCTTTTTGGTCAGCGATGGGGTGCTGGAGCTGTCGGAGATCAAGGCCCAAGGAAAGGAGGCCAGGACTGGGTGAAATCCAAGGGAAATCCAAGGGACATGTCGTTTTTATATGGATTTCCCATTGAGGTTTGATGATTTTTATGGGATTTCCCCTGGAAATCCAGGACAATGTTTTATCCATGCTTCGTTTTTCTGAATCAAACCTCCACAAAATGACTCTAATCCTTAAATCCATGGTCTATCATAGCCTCCGTTGCTCGTGAAGTTCATCGAGCTCTATAAAACGACTAGTTCTTGCCGCTCAAAATCCATGAAATCCTGAAATTCCCATATGTTCTGCTTAGAATCCACAGAAGTCCCACTGTTTTGACTGCAAATCCGTAAAATCGTCCCTGTTAGAACCTGAATGAACCTGAAACTCCCCATGTTTGGTGCAAGGTCCCATGGTTTGACTTCAAAACCCATTTTCTTGTTGGTGAAACCCCCACATGTTTGGTTGATTGGTTTGTTGGTCAAACCTTGGAAAAAACATTGTATAACGTTTGTTTGACTTAGTAACATTGAAACACCTTATCACAGCCACCCCCAAAGAAGATAGGACAGTTAGTTCGATGATATTTACTAATCATATGTCCACTTATTTAATCTTATCTCCAGGTTTCCCACTGCCCACTTTTCTATCCATGGCTTGGGGTTGCTATAAGATATCTTAAAATCATCCCCATTGCAATGATGCTCTGTAGACTTAGGAACATTCAAACACCATGAAACACAAATTAAACACCATTTAAACATCGTCCCCATTGGTGACACCTTTGTACCATGTTTTTTCACTTTTTTCTGGGTGAGGTCAACATGGCAGATGCGGGCCTGGAGCTGGAGAATGCCATCCCAGAGATGCCGGACATGTCCATGGAAGGCCCTCGGGCAGAGAAAAAACATGGATGGATTCATGGTGATTTCACCAACTATGGGGATATTTTTCTGGATATTTCATAGCATAGATATGTATATATATACACATAATCTACAATGATGATTTGTACAATGATGCTTTGTACAATCATGTGATGGAACATGGGGATTCAACATGATTTAACCATCTACGATGAGCTGGACCTGGTGGACGTGGACCTGGTGGTTCCCTTTCAGATCATCCCAAGGGAGTTTGGCTGAAGATTGGTATGCAAAATCAATGGGATTTTATTTCAGAATGAGGAAAAGTGTGAAAAAGTGACGCTGATATCATGGGCATATTTCATGGGGATATAGGATATAATGAGGATGTAATTGGGATATATCAGTGAAGCTGATATTATGGGACATGATCGCCCAGCGGACAAGGCTTGAGGTCCCCAAAAAGGTGGCCGCACATGCTCCAAGTGTGCATGAATTGTTAGTGTGGACAATGATAGAATCTGATAGAGGGATGCTTTTTAGTGCTAAAAAATCATTGATATTTTTCTACTTTGAATTGCTTTGAGCTTCCTCCCAGATAGTAAATGGCTATTTACCCTCTGGTAATTTAACATAGCTATTGAACATGGTGATTTAGTTCGTGGATTTTCCCGCTAAAAATGGTGATTTTCCATAGAACATGGTGATTTAGTTCGTGGATTTTCCCATTAAAAATGGTGATTTTCCATAGAACATGGTGATTTAGTTCGTGGATTTTCCCATTAAAAATTGTGATTTTCCATAGAACATGGTGATTTAGTTCGTGGATTTTCCCATTAAAAATGGTGATTTTCCATAGAACATGGTGATTTAGTTCGTGGATTTTCCCATTAAAAATGGTGATTTTCCATAGCTATGTTAGTTTACCAGGCCGGGTATTCCCTAGTCTCTCACCGGGATGATCTCTGCAGGTTGGAGCCTACCTCCCAAAGAGACTCCAGGCAGAGAGCGAAATGATGAAATGGAAAAATCCAGCGAGGGGTGCTGCTTGGTGGTTTCAAACATTGGTTTAGTATGGGGTTTCATGATGGTTCATGATGGTTTCATGATGGTTAATGATGGTTAATGATGGTTAATGATGGTTAATGATGGTTAATGATGGTTAATAAATGTTAATAATCACTGATTGGTGGTTTCAAACATGACTGGATGGGATTTTCCATGTCATAGAAATGGGATGTCATCCGAAACCCATTGACGAACTCGTTCATATTTTTCAAGATGGGCACATTGCACCACCAACCAGGGTGAATTGTATTTGAAACCCCCAATGACCAGAAATGACCCACATTTGGGATATTTTGATCCATGATAAATAATTGCTCATGCAAAGTCAGGTTTGTTTGAAGTTTAAGGACATCCTGATTTGTTGGCAGATTCACAACCTGCTTTCTACCAAGACTGTCAAATGTATTTGGACCAGGTGATCAAACGGTACAGTGCATTGGTGGAAAGGCTCATTACCTGGAAAGATTGGTAGGTCCAATGTGTTTGCAGGAGATGGTGCTTCACCGCCCGAGTCAACGTCTTTTTAGGAACCCATTCTATCGCGACAGAGTTAAGGTTAACCATTACGTTGAAACGGGTTTCTGGATATTTCTGGCATTTTGGGTTATTTTACCCTGTAAATAATCTCATTCCCATAGGATCCATGTATGGTATATATGCTAACATTGGGGGTATATTGATGGGATCCATGTTACCATATATACCATACATGGATCCTATGGGATTTGCTAGATCCATGCCTTTTATTTTAGTGGCATGCTAGAAGCAGCACGTCCATATCCAGTAGCATCCAGTCGCCATCGGAAAATTTCCGAAACTCCGAGCTTCGGGCGCGTTGACGACGACGCAACGAAAGGTGTGTTGGCCATCAATCCAGACATCACCGATGCAGAGCAGTATTCCATCCAGGCCGCAGCACGGTCCGACGGTCCGGTTGTGAATTTTCGAAGCATTGCCTATTGGGGGTTGGTATGGGTTGGTGGAACCCCCAGAAAAAAACCAATGGCATTTAAGTAGCAATATGTCAATATGTGAAGACAATGATCATGTTTGAAAGATGTTGAAGATCTTTCGAGTATCGTGAACTTGAACCTGGTGGTCAGTTGAATGTGTCAAAAAAGATCATAAAGTATCCATGTTTGTTGTTTTTTGGTGCTTCACACATCAGAAGGATTTCCCATTTTTGCTTATACTTGGATGACCATCCAGTATATGGGTATGCATCAAGATTAAGCTCCATTTGGACCTCTAAATTTACCCCAAAAGTTTAGTCAGCTCAGCATTGTCCTTCGGGGAACTCCATTTTTGACCAGCGCCAAAGTTGACCAATACACAAATATACGTAGTGGTTGGTGATCCTAAATGCTCTCGGGATGTAATGGGGATATATATATATATAACCAACCTGATATGATACTTGGATAATATATATATATACAGTACACAATATAATATATATATATATAATATATATATATATAATATATATATATATATATAATATATAATATATATATATATAATATAATATATATATATATTAAATATAGCATAATATACAGTATATATATACATAATGCATAATATTATATATAGTATATATATATAAATATGTGTATATATATATATATGTACATATATATATATATGTGTATATATATATATGTATATATATATATATTTGGGTGTATCTGGAAAAAAATCATCATATTGGCTGCTGCCTTCCACAGCTTCAACGACTTTTGGCTGATTCAATTGTCTCTGGGCACCTTCGAGCTACATCTATGGGTTTCATTCAAATCCTATTTGAACTGATGAAGATGACCCTCCTTGGGGGTGCTTGAACATGAGGTATACCCATAATTCATGCCCTTTTATAAAATGGGGACAATGATCATTGGCCAGCGGATTTAAGGGGTACAAAAAAAAATCATACAAACCCATGAAACTTGGTACCCGTAGCCCCATTTTACCACTGGGGCCTACCAAATATTTTTTTTCCACCCGTGGGCTGAACTAATAATGTTACATCGTCACAAGAATTGATGATTAAGGATGACTCCAATTATACATCAACCAGGGGCAGTTACTGATCATTAGAGTTCATTAGATATATGTTTGTTCTCACCGTTTATCACCAACTACCCCTGCAATGTGGTAAACCCAATGCCGTAACCCCAATGACCTACCAGAAATGTTGGAATTCAACCATCCCCAAATTGTAGTTGTTTGTTATTGGATTTACCACATTAAGGTCTTTCATCGTTTTTCACGTTTACCAAAAACACTTGTCATAAACCCCGACTATATTATATATATAATTTATGGGGGTTCTATACCCCGAAACTAGTGATAACATTGATCAATTACCATCAAAATAGCTATTCTCCCACATTTTTCACAACATAGTTTAGAAACATGTTAATACACCATATTAAACCACAATTTTTACCACACTAAACCCATGGGTCAATGACCCATTCAACGACCCCCCACCGTCCTTGTCGCGTAGGACGCCAAGTTGAAGGCCGAGGAGGACAGCGCCAAGGCGGCGGCGGAGCTGAAAAAGTTGCGCAACTTGGCGGATCCCAATAGGGGATCCGGGGAGCCCCGGGGCAGAGGTGGGGAGGTCACCCGGGGCAAAGGTGGAAACATCATTAGTGGATCAACATGATTAACATATTAATATGGATTAAATATGGATTAACATATTAACATATGGATATATCATGTGGATTAAATATGGTGATCATATGAAATAATGTATCATAATGTATCCATATTAATGATTAACATATGGATATATCAACTTAAATATATTAACATATAGATTCTGTTTCCATGTTTGTCAACAAATATGGAAACTAAGCATATGAATGTGAAACAACAATGTGGATATTTCACAATCTCCACATTAAGCATGGTATAACGGTATAAATGATCCAGATATGGGTATACATTAGTCACGATAACCATGATCTACCATGATCATAGGTATAAATGAATCTCACTAACCACTTTACTGTGACCATATATTTTATGTTAAATCAATTATAAACCATTGGTTAGATCCGGATACCACAGACAATTAAACACATTTTTTCTTCGTGAATATGGAAAAAATCACGCCAGAATGGCCTTGTTTCGTTCAATTTATATCCAATTCCAAGGGATGTTTCTGTCACTTGGGCTTGGCCAAGCAGTCTTGTACAAAGCCATATGGCTATGGATCAATACCTATGAAAATACCATTTTTAGGGGGATGAACATCCATGAATCCCAGCTATTTTTATGTTCACCAGGGGTACAAGGTTTTGACCCACTGCCATATGGATTTGGGCCAAACTGATCATCCAAAAAACATGTGGATGATTTTTCTGGGGTGCGTTTTGGGGGACAAAAGTGCCCCGGCAGTTTTGTGAAATAGCCAGGTTTCATCAAGTGGCTGTGGAAGACCCAATGCCATAAACAACTACCATGACTGGGTTTACAGTAAACATAGCACTTCATAGCACCCATCAAAATGATGATGGCATGGGGAGGGTTAATGGCATTGGGTTTACCGGTTTACCACATTGAATGGTTTGTAAAATGATAAAACCTACGGCATATATGATGAGCTATGGGGTTGTATGTAATAACCTATACCCCTGGCATAAATGGGAACGTAATAGATTCCAGAAATTGATGCGGTTGATTGCAAATTGACCCGATCCCTCTCTTTTTGCTCATCTATGGTCGACATGGTCATGGAGGTCACACACTATGGGAATAACGCTGTGTCATGTGTCACAATAGTAGTAATAGAATGTAATAGATTAATAGCAACAGAATGCTTTGGATGATTCTGTTGGTCTGTGCGAAATTCTACTCCGGTAGCATTGAAAGCATGTTTCCTCTCATCCGATTCTCATGCTGAAGTGGCCATGGTGTTACGTTAGCACGTCACGGTGAAGACACCTCCGGCATGTTAGTATGAGATCATACAACAATACAACAGTGTCAACCCGAGACCAATAAGACCCTGGACCCTGGGCTGTTTACTTGGGGGTAGCCCCAAAATAGTGATCACATACATTAAAATACATTCGATTGCTAGTCAAAGTGGTGCCCCATATAAACTGGAGTCTCTGTTGACATTCTAATATGACACAGATTTAAATGACAAACGTACGTACAATCTACAAGTACATGGCGTACTAAACCCTCGCCCTGTTACGCTTGCAACGCATCTTGCAAATTGAAGTTGAGCTATGTTGAGCTACTGTATTCCCCTTGAAATCCATCATACTCCAGTGCGCCAAAATTCCGCGAAATTGCCGAGAAACAATTGTTTAGTCGTTCAAAAAACAAACAAACTCTTAGGATTTCCACATGGGGTTGTTTGCAAACACATTTCATTAGGTAATGTTAGATACTCCAATTCATGGCCTTTCAAACATCGTAAATGTGCTCGTAACTCAGAGAAGGGACAATCAACGCAAAAAAAACACAATTTTCACCATCAAATTATGTTAGATATATAATATATATATACCAGGTAATATTCATTGGTTACAAATTCCTTTCCAGGGCAGATTTTGGTTTGATTTCTGTCCATTTTCTGTAGATTTGCCCATTTCAAAAAAAATGACCATTTCAAGAAAAAACTTGCCACTTCATGTTTTCATTTTTGAGTCATGATGAATCTGCCCGCGTATTTCCGCCTTTTTCCCGGGTATTTCCGCCTTTTTCCTCGGATTTCCGCCCAGAAAAATCAACACTTTTTTACGCAAAGTAGAGTAAGATCAGCCCAAAAGGCACGAAATCCAAAATTGACCACAGTAGTCAAAAAATGACCATTTCCAGCTCCTTCACAAGATTTCTGCGCCCTAAGGGCAGAAATCTTGCAAACGGACATTTATTTGTGTCCTTTCGAAGATATATATATATATTATATATATTATATATATATATTATATATATATATAATTATATATATATATACCCTGAACGTCAAATGCCAAGTTTAACTTGGTATTGGTGTGATGCTAAGTTTTACTTAGTAGAACTTCGTATGTCTGGAAAGCTGATATGGGGATGCCAGATATGTCCACCTGAGCCCATCTGGGCTCAAGAAACACCTCATGGATGAAGAGAGCCCTTGCCAACAGCCTTACCCTTAGCCCATGCTGGCAACAGAGGATCTCCATTTTTTCCTCTGGTAGCCAGCTCCTTTCTCTGAGGACTCAAGAGGTATCGCGATGATGAGAGTGGTACGCTGCCCCCTCTGCTTGCTAGGGTGTCAACAGGTATGGGTCAAAGCATGGTAATTAACAATAGTTCATAATATTTTTATAGATTAATCTTCCATGCTGGGGATATGAACTTTGACCCATATTTGGAAATCAGTTTTTCTTCAAACCAGAGATCTGCAATTTCCATGGCTCAAACAAGCTGACCTTGTAATGGATGGATATAATATATGATATATTTGATACAGTGGTTTTACTGAAAGCGTGTGAGACTTTTTCATCATATGGCTCATTTGAGCCTGGACATTCCACTGGCACATTCACGTTTTCAACTTGAAACTGCGCTGAACCATTTTTTGTTTTCGCCATGCCTGCATCAAAGCCTGATCCCACTCGGCTTGCATTGCTCAAGGATGGCCACTTGCTATGTGTTGAATCGTGGGAAACCTTACAACCAAGTCAGATTCACAATCTTTTCGAAAACTTAGTATAGCATCACACCAGTACCAAGTTATATAACTATGGCAAATTTGACGTTCAGGGTATATATATAATATTATGTATGTGCCCGCAGAAGTGGTCCCCTGCATTCAGGACTTCTACAATGAGCAACTGGAAGACGACTTCCGCAAATCCAGGTACTTGGACCTGGCCAGGAAAGATGGGATGCCAGTTGGAAAGGTGGAGCGCCAACTTTCGGAGGGGAAGGCCGGCCAGTGTCTTCTCAAGCAACTTACACTTAGCTTATAGATAAGGGTGATGTTGTTTTTTCAGATCCAATCCATTCAAATCCAACATGGGAATGTCTCAAAATAGGGGATTCCAAAACTTCATTTTTTATTTTAAAGAAATGAAGTTTCAGGATCCTCTATTTTGAGACATTCCCGCATTATTTAATTGTGGTTTTATGCCCCACTCTTCACCAGGTACCAGCAGTGACATTCACCTTTGTGAATGTTGGAAAAAAGGGTATCAATGAGGATTGCGTATGCCCGGCAAATTTATCCATGTTGACAAGGGGATCAGTCACTTTTGTTGCAATCTAGCCAGGTACAACAACCTCGAAACACAGAGTTCATGATGGCTTGGCTTCCAACGTTTGCCGTGGACCCTCCCACAGAGCTGGAGGCTAAGGACCCCAAGAAGTAATATGCATGCACTCAACCCCCTGATCACTATCGGTCACCCTGGGTAGGAGGCGTTGTACTATGTCGGGGAAGTTCATTGCCTTGCTGAATCCAAGGACTTGGAGGCATGATCAATTCCAGAATGTTTCAGAACTTAGGGCTCAATCAATTATTGATCAATCAGTTCCAGATTAATCTGGCTGAATCCAAAAATCAGTATATGAAAACCTTGGCCAGGATTGGGCTTTAGAAGAGTCCCGTCTACACAGACTGATGGCAGCAAAAGTGTTGGCCAACTTTTCCCGGACACCAACAGCAAGGCCTAAAGTAACTGTCTCTGGTTGTTTCCTTACTCTAGTTTTTCTCATAGCCATCTCCAACAGCCCCACTCCAGGAAACCCGGGAGCAACATGCAGAAACTCAAGAGCCTCCTTTCGCTGATCTTCAAGGACTCGGAGAAGTCAATCACGGAATGGGGGAAGCATTGCCACCTGCATGCACGCAGGAAGCAGGTATTGCAAGAAAGACAAAATCAATCCGAAGACCATTGACCCAGGCTGATTCTGAGTCTGCTGTTTCTGACGATTTTTGTCCAGTGATTCCCACTGAAAGCATACTACAATAAAAAGATATAAAAAGTGTAACCGTACCTGCTGCAATGATATTCAAAGTTTATCTCTGCTCCTTGTCCTTGGTTCCCCTGGCTCAGGAAGAAGCCCAAAAATCAAAAGACAAAGAAGAAGATGAGGAGCAAGAGGTCCTAGTAGAAGAAGAAGAAGAGGAAGAGAGTGTGACCGATGATGAAGTGATGGAGGTTCCAAAGAAAGCAGAGGATTCGAAGGAGGCTGAAGAGGAGCGAAAGAAAGCAGAGGATGCCAAGAAGGCAGAGGAGGAAAGACAGAAAGCAGAAGACGCGAAGAAGGCAGCTGAGGCTGAAGAAGAGCGAAAGAAAGCAGAGGATGCCAAGAAGGCAGAGGAGGAAAGACAGAAAGCAGAAGACGCGAAGAAGGCAGCTGAGGCTGAGGAGAACAGAAAGAAGGCAGAGGATGCAAAGAAGGCAAAGGAGGAGAGAAAGAAGGCAGAGGATGCGAAGAAGGCAGCAGAGGCTGAAGAGGAGCGAAAGAAAGCAGAGGATGCCAAGAAGGCAGAGGAGGAAAGACAGAAAGCAGAAGACGCGAAGAAGGCAGCTGAGGCTGAAGAAGAGCGAAAGAAAGCAGAGGATGCCAAGAAGGCAGAGGAGGAAAGACAGAAAGCAGAAGACGCGAAGAAGGCAGCTGAGGCTGAGGAGAACAGAGAGAAGGCAGAGGATGCAAAGAAGGCCAAAGAGGAGAGAAAGAAGGCAAAGGATGCGAAGAAGACAGCAGAGGCTGAAGAGGAGCGAAAGAAAGCAGAGGATGCCAAGAAGGCACAGGAGGAAAGACAGAAAGCTGAAGATGCGAAGAAGATAGCAGAGGCTGAAGAGGAGAAAAAGAAGGCAAAGGATGCAAAGAAGGCTGAAGAGGAGAGGATTCACCGAAAGAAGGGGCAGGAGGAAACGGCCAAGGAATGGGAACGAAAAAAGAAAGCCGTTGAGGATGATGGTGGGGCAATGGCAGTGGCAACTGGGTTGACTTTTCAGCTCTACGACGCCCTGAAAATGCTCGGTGACTCCCCTGAACACCAACAGTTTAAGTCTGAAGTACTTTGCTTTTTGTCTGGCCAGAAGGAGGCTGAAAGACCAAACACAGAGGATCTGGAGGCAAACAGCGACGATGACACACATGGACAGGGTGCAAAAGGAACCTACAAGGACACAATGGCCTTGAATCCTGAGCTCCCGAAACTTCCTGAAGATCTTCGAGATAGCGCAGACAGTCCCAAGACAGAAAGAGCTTCTCAACTTCTTCAGGATCAAAGGGAAATCAGAGCAAAAAGGAAAGCACAGCTGCAAGCGAAGGAAGCTGAACCGAAGAAAAGAGGAAGGCCACCAAAGACTGAGAAAGGGAAAGAGGAAAGCAAAGAGGAAAGCAAAGAGGACAAGAAGGAGGAAGAGCAAGATGAACTTTCCATGGAAAATGCGCTGGACAAGGATGATCAAGAGCTCAGAGTTGAAAGAGCACTCGAAGATGATGACAATGATGCAAAACCTCGCCGCCGAAGCACCACCAAAGGAAGCGGAAGAGGAGGAAAGAAGCGCAAAGGGCCTGATGGAAAGACAAAAGGCAAAGAACCTGGACCTGAGAATGAGCAAGAGGCGACAGAAGGCAAGACAGAGGAGAAGCCTGGATCTGCAAAAGAGGCGGAGGAGACGACTAAGAAACCTGACAAGGAGCCAAGGGAGAATGACGATAACAAAGGCAAAGGAAATGGAAAGAAAAAAAGAGAGAAAGGACCCAAGGCCCGGCTTGAAAGTCACCATCGCAGTGAGTCTAATGTACTTATTCAACTTAGGTGTCCAACCAATCTAAGATTGGGACAGCTAACTGGGCAGTTTTCCAGGATTTCATTCATCACATGTACTATCAAAGCCAACTACCAATTGACCACTTTGCAGGATCCGGATGAGACGCCTCCACCAAACAAGCGTGGTCGAGAGGACTGGTGACTTGAACATTTCTTCAAAATCATCAGCTTTGATTTTCAACTAGGGATTGTAAGTGCTGTTCTCTAACATTAGGCTGTTTTGAAACTTGACCCTTTTCACCACTCCAACATACTGCAACTGGGCCAAGCGCGCCTGGACATTCGAAGGACTTCATCCAGGGAAGTCTGATCATGGTTCAAGACCTTGCGCAGAGGCAGGTGATGTATGAGCTTCCCGATGAAGCTGCAATGAAAACAAAAAAGCCTGGAACATAGATTCCTCCATCCATTCTTTATATAACTTATAATCGAAGGATCAATCATAGCTAAGCTAAGGTCGTGGACACAGAGCCCCAAGAAAGAGGTGCTGGGTGAGAAGTTATTTTCTGATGCAGCACCAATCAGCACACTGCCCAAATCTCAGTATTTTTAGGGATAACAAATGCACTTCTTTTCAAATTGATTGCAGTTTGAAAATCTTGATTGAGGCTGGTGGGCTGCGCATTTTATGTTGTGCGCCCATGCGATGACAATATCAAACGTGTCAACCGAGTGTTCAAGAAGAATTTCGAGGTGAGGGTCTCTGGTTACCTCTGTGACAATTTCGATCAGCCAATTTGCCATTGATCTTGTGACCTCTGTTTTGGGTCTGCTGGTGCCATGATATGCATGAGTGGGCAGGTCAATAGCAACAATGGCGTGACAGTGACATGGGCCAAGAATGGTGGAATCATCACAGCGCTGGAAGCTAAGTTGGTTTCCAATTCACATATTCCCCATTGAGGGCCAACTTGATGGAATGTACTTTGAGCCTAGCAGTATCACGATGGCAGTTATGGAATACTACAATACGTGGATGGGAATAACATGGAATAACTATTATTCTCAAACCCTCAATCAGACATCCCACACCCGGCTTAGGTGGCACCTGTCCAGATGCCTGGCCAATTGGCTGCAGCACTCCCAGTTTGGGCCCTACGAGCAGGGACAGTTTCCAGGAAGTGAAATTCTTTTGTTCCCTCCGAGCTGGAACAACGGGTCAGCACCTTAATTTTGAGAGAGCACAAAAAAGTGCTCGAAAGAGCTAGACACCTCATGGCCATATATGGAGTAGAAAGTTAGGAAGCCCATGACTCATTGTGAATCATTGTGACGAAAGCTGTGATTTCATTTTGTCATGAGCGTCAGCTAGCTCACAATCTTGTGTCAAACCATCTTTGCAGCAGGGGAACGCTGGAAAAAATGCACAATCAATATCATTCAACTGGGTTTGTGGTGGAATTGGAATTTGAGAAATATGCGCTATGCACATCCGACCTGCAGTGCAACTACCTTGAACCTTGAATGAGGTTTGGATTAATTGTGAAGTATGGAACCATCCTGACCTAGCAATTGGCTCAGCTCTGTTCATCTCTGTTCGCTCACGCCTTGTGCCAGAGATCCAGCAGATAAAATGCCACCAACCTGGCGTCAAAGCCCATTGGCCCTCACAGCATGCGCTGCGACAGTGGCTCTGTTTCTGGGAGCTCCGATGACTTTGTCTGGAGCCTAGCATGGATGACTGTATAGTCTTTGTGTCATTGAGATCAGTTGAACTAAAGCATTTTCACAAGCATCGACGAACCACAAAATAGCTATGAATTCTGATGCAGCTTTTGCAGATCAATTTTCTAGAGGGCTCATCTACCGTTCTTGGGGCCATGGTGTATAGACGAAACAAAATGGCCCGTGGTTTGTCCCAAAGCCATGATGTAAATGCGAAGCGCACCCGCTTTTCTAGAGATGATGATTGTCAAGGGGCTGTCGTTGCACCAGAGGATGATAGCAACATCATTGACATATCTGATTTGGTTTCCAGAGATGAAGCCCCTACAGACTCTGAAAATGAAGCCAAAGGAGTCACTGGATCCAGGCGGATTCGACCAGCAAATGATTTTCCATACTCCCTTGCTCAGTGGGTCCACTACCGGAACAAGTGGGTGCTGATTCCTGATTGGCACTTTCGAACTGATGCTCAACATGTTCCAGAATGTGACTGTCGCTTTTGTGAAATCTTGAAGTTTGTCACAAATGAGTCTGAGGAGTCAAATTAGATTTCCGCTGGTGGTGGCATGTTTACAAAATAGAAGCCACTGCCAGCAATTTGCACTGGCTAGAACCAAATTCAACATGCAACAGTACAAGTTGCAACAACTTTCGAAATTTAGAAAGATATCTATTGCTCTTTGAATTGTGACATAGTTGCTGTGCCTACCAGCTTCTCTCTACGTCGAAAACATTATAGTTATGCCTCTTTGCAATCTTGCACTCGGTCATTCATGTCAAATTAAGACAGAGCATTTGGATCCATCAGTGGTTGCAAACTGCACGATTCAGGTTGGAGGTCGTCGACAAGGTGACTGAGGAAAATTACAAGTACTACGACAGGGTCAGGATCTCACCTGTGGAAACCCTGCAACTTTGATAATCTTGAATGAAGACTTTGTTCTTACTGAGGACTTAACAAACTTCGACGTCTTTAGTGGGGCTGGTGCTGTCTACCAGGCCTTCTGTCTGAGCCTCATGGCAAATCAAACTATACCCTTGTTATGATTTGGAATCTTTGTTTAATTTCGTTTGGAATTCTTGAGCCCAACAATTGTGAGCCCACTCAAAGGTGATGGTGGACATTCCGCGCTGCAGTCTCAGCTAGTTTTTGCAGTTACAAGTGCTAGAAGTAAATCACAAATACACATAAGTCACTTTCTTAGTGCTATGGATCTATGGATCATCCATGTGTGTTTAAAATCAGGGAGAACTTCGACTTGGCGAGCCGTGGTGCCATCAATGACTTAGCTACTGGGTCTGGTGCCAAGAAATAGATTAAAAACCATGTCAAAGACATGTCAATCCCTCGCCCAAGCTCAGGCCTGGCTTTTGCCAAGCAGTACTTGGCTGCTTGCGGATTCGCGCAGGTGGCCTAATGACCTTAGGGCCGCCATGTGGAAGCTTCGTTTGGATCAATTCAAACACACATGGACGCACTCGAGATGAGCCACTGGGGGACCAGAAGAAACCATATGTCAACATGGGGTCCTTGTCACCTAGTTGAGGTTTGGAGGAGCCAATAGATTTTACTTTTTTCTTTGATTTGTCTGCATTCTTATGTAATTGGGGACGAACCATAAATATATAGATATGATGGCTGATCTATACAACTGAGGCTTGCTGCACGAGCCCTTCTACTTGTGGTTTTGGCCACTTGCAGAGGAGTACTGGTTTCTTTGGAACAACCGGCATCATCAACGATGAAATTTTTCCCCGATTTGGTTCGAACTGGGAAGCTCATCAACGAGCACTTGGGATCCTTTTGGAAGGATCAGTTCTTGTCAGAAACTCAAACAAATTGATGGTTGAAAAATGGTTTGATGGAAATCTAATCTATATAGAACCTTGCGTGATTCCCATGCCCTCTTCCGGCCAAGTTGGATGGGTACCTGGGGTAGTCCCAGTCCAAAGCCGAGCCGCTGCTGGGGAACAGTGCTGGGAGCCAAGGGGTGTAGTGTTGAAGCTTCTCCACCTGCAAAAGTTTAGTGAGCAGTGCGTTCCAAGGTCATGGCTGCCTTCTTTGTATCGCACCCTTACTAAGCTCCAACGAAAAAAACTTGCAGAACGAGCAAAGAAGTTGAAAATCACCATCAAACGTCGTAAAGCTGATGGGTCCATGTCTGTGCCCATACCTCAGTTTGTTGGTCATATTGATCATCATTTATCCAGGGTTACTAGATCAATCAAAAGAGCCCATGTTTCTGTCTCAGGAGTGGTGGCCCAGACCTTCGTGCTACGCAGGTTTATCCACGTGGATTTGGCAAGAGGGTGTGCTCTCTTCATGAGCTCCTTATGGACCCTTGGGGATGGGTTATGCCAAACAGAAAGCCCAGAGTGCTGGTTTATCTCTAAATTAATCCTTAGTTATCTATGGCCCAGGTTTGATCAAATGTATGTACTTCCCAAAACATCAAGATTGACAGGACCAACCAAAACCCTACAGGGATATCCGCTTCTTCACCTCAAATAGGTGGTTTAAGTTTCTTTTAACCCACAAATAGTGCTACACAAGGAACAAAAGAAGTGGGCTACCCAATTCATTACCTTTGAGCTTTCCTAAGGAGTTCAAAATCTGGTGGATTATGCTACGACCAAATTCCACAGGTTCCTACTTCAGGGTTCTTTATGTTATGGGGCCAAATCACCGCTGTGGCCAGGACTCGTCTGAAGATTTGCAACTTCAAGCCGCAGTGAAGACATTGTGGTACAAAGTTCGTTATGGCCAGCAAATGCCAGCTGGGATTCCCAGATATTTCTGTTTCTGTCCAAACCCAGAAGTATGGAAACACTGTTAAACCTGGTCTTGAAATGTCCCGAATGAAGATATACTGCATATATTTGAGCCGGGTTCCTCCCCTATCTAAGAACCACTGACCCATGGAGCCACAATTGGTTTATGCTGAGTAATTTTTTATCAAAATCATTTACACTTGTTTAACAGTGGCAAAATAGATACCTTCATGATGATTTGTGGCTTTCCGGGTGGGAAAATGAGGCTAAACATCCTGGAGCTTGGAAGAAAGCACGGCTCCCACAGCTGAAGAAATTGATTTGCAAAAAATCATCATAGTGCTATGGCACAACTGAGTCTTGGGGGAGGACATGCAACCAATAAGTCATTGCCTTAAGTCTGCAATTTAAAAGATGTGGGCCATTCCCTACAAGTGGCTGACTTTAGGATGTTTGGGGCAGTTTTATCCAGCAACTGGTGGTAAGTGTAAGCTCCCTGAGACATACTGCAGCGAAATTGGCCTGCTTCTGGCCGAAGATGTGGCATGGCAATCATTTGCCTGCCATTGCAATTGCTGGCGAGGCACCATTCATGGTCAGTCAACCAGGTTTTTTCATTTTATTGAGAAGTGGTTCAAAACAGCTACGCGTGAAATAGCGTGAAACCTGCGTGAAATACCAAGTTTAACCGTGAAATACCAAGTTTACCCGTGAAAGTGCGTGAAATTGGAGCCCCTGGAATACGACCTATTTTGTCAAATCTGTGTGCTTCAAACTGCCTCGACTATTCCTGTTGCCAGCGGATTCTGAGTTCCATTCAAGCTGAAAGGTGAAAAACTATATTTCTCAAAGAGCGTCAGATGCATGTGTTGTGAGTTCAATTTTTTTTCACACAGAAATCGTGGTTTTGTTGTGAGATTGGAATTGGAAGTTGATACTTAAGCAGCCTATTTTGGTCAAACCACTAGCTGGGTCTGTTTCACACCCAATGGAAGAGAAGGATTTGTTGCAGAGCCTTGAAAAGGCCCGGGCACGGCTTCAACGAGTCAATCTGGGCACCACCGAGCCTGTTCCAGATGATGTCACTGGTGGTGTAGCATCCCCACCTTCGCGCAGTTCTGCAGGCCAGGTTCTGTGGCACCCCAAAAAAGACTTGGTGAAGTAATCTGTGCACCAAAATTTAAAAAATACAATCTAATGGCCATAAATAGAAAAGGTCTGATCGATCCAGACTGTGACTTGATGGAAGTTGGGATGAACACCAAAAAGAGTTCAATAAAAAATGGTGTATTTCCAGCATTTTTCCACACTGTGGTGATTCCAAAGGTTCCCAAATTCATGTGAGTTGAACAAAATGCATTGGGTGGCACGAAACAAATTTTAAGGGCGTATCATCTGCAAAATTCAACATATGTTATCACCCACAACGGCTTTGCCATATTGGAGCTGCCAGGCAGTGGGAAAAAAGTGATCAAGAAAGTGGTGGTCAAAAGGGTGAGAGAAAAGGTAGGTCAAAATGATGCAGAGGCGAACAAGGACAACACGGACAAGACAACTCTAGGGGACATGAAAGGTCTGGACAAGAAAGACTCAATGATAGATTCTCAGCTGACTGTTCCCTATGAAGCAGAAGATGTGGAGAAGATCCAAGAAGAAATGATGTGGAAAGATCACAACCAACGTGTGCTACAACAACTTCGTGAAGGGGATATCTCCACAACGCCAAGTTCAAAGAGTGAAGGTTCTTGTTCACCAGCCGCCAGGCTGAACCGTTTGGACAGCACGAGTGACTTGAGCGATGTGAGCAGCGCAGGGCCATCAGCAAGTTTGGTGGCACAACAACTTGGCCGGTGCAATACCGGAGAACAACTCAGCAAACATCTTGACTTTGACTCTCTCAGTGACACCTCTTGGGTTTCAGCAGAAGCCCAACGCATCATGCAGAATGCAAAGCAGGATGCAGAAAAGGCCGCAAGATTGCTTGAACATGCAAAGGCAATGATCGCTAAGGCTGAGCAACAGCAGAAGCAGCTAGAAGATGCAAATGGAAAGGAAACGCAAAAGACAGCTGAGGCAGAGGCAAACAAGAAGAAAGAAGAGGATGCGAAGAAGGCAGCAGAGGCTGAAGAGGAGAGAAAGAAAGCACAGGATGCGAAGAAAGCTGAAGAGGAAAGACAGAAAGCTGAAGATGCTAAGAAGACAGCAGAGGCTGAAGAGGAGCGAAAGAAGGCAGAGGAGGCAAAGAGGGCCGAAGAGGAGAGAAAGAAAGCAGAGGATGTCAAAAAGGCTGAGGAGGAGAGAAAGAAAGCAGAGGATGCGAAGAAGGCAGAGGAGGAAAGACAGAAAGCTGAAGATGCGAAGAAGACAGCAGAGGCAGAAGAGGAGAGAAAGAAAGCAGAGGAGGCAAGGAAGGCCGAAGAGGAGAGAAAGAAGGCAGAGGAGGCGAAGAAGGCTGAGGAGGAGAGAAAGAAAGCTGAGGATGCCAAGAAGGCAGAGGAGGAAAGACAGAAAGCGGAGGATGCGAAGAAGGCAGAGGAGGAAAGACAGAAAGCTGAAGATGCGAAGAAGACAGCAGAGGCTGAAGAGGAGCCAAAGAAGGCAGAGGAGGCAAAGAAGGCCGAAGAGGAGAGAAAGAAGGCCGAGGATGCGAAGAAGGCAGAGGAGGAAAGACAGAAAGCTGAAGATGCGAAGAAGACAGCAGAGGCAGAAGAGGAGAGAAAGAAGGCAGAAGATGCGAAGAAGGCAGAGGAGGAAAGACAGAAAGCTGAAGATGCGAAGAAGACAGCAGAGGCAGAAGAGGAGAGAAAGAAAGCACAGGATGCGAAGAAAGCTGAAGAGGAAAGACAGAAAGCTGAAGATGCGAAGAAGACAGCAGAGGCAGAAGAGGAGCGAAAGAAGGCAGAGGAGGCAAAGAGGGCCGAAGAGGAGAGAAAGAAAGCAGAGGATGCGAAGAAGACAACAAAGGCTGAAGAGGAGAGGAAGAAAGGTGAGGTTGAGAATAAGAAACCAGACGATGCAAAGCGACATGCGGAACACAACAAGGCCCTAGAAGAGAAGCAAAAAGCTGAGGAGGCAATGAAAGTTGCCCAAGAGATGATGGAGCAAGCAAAAAAGGCGTTAGAAAAAGCAAAGGGCAAAGAAGAGGGCAAAGAAGAGGGCAAAGAAGAGGGCAAAGAAGAGGGCAAAGAGACCAATGGAGAAGCACTTGTTGACAACACCGAGGAAGAAAGGAAGAAAAAAGAACTGGCGCAGAAGAAAGCTTCTGCCCATGCCCGCTACATGAGGTACTATCGAAACATTCGACGTACTGTCCTAAGATATCACATCTATTTCAGATTGCAATTCTAAATCTCATGTTTGATCAAATTCCAAGTCATACAATTGCACTATCCTGCAGAATCCTTTTAGTGTACCGAGACAAAGACACTCCTCGAGAACTTCGGCTGATGGGGCAAGAAGCCAAGGGCAGCCCCTCAACTGATTTATGTCCTCATTTTATATTTATAATTTAATTTAATACAATTATAAACATCTATATCACTTCTCTGGGACACCAACAGTCGTCATCTTTCGGCACCTCGTCTCTGTTGGGCCACTGCTCTGCGAATAGACTCCACCTGAATAACAACGCGAATCGTCTACATGGGAAATCCCAAGCAATCACCATCTTTGTGGTTGAAAATGGTTAAAAAACATGTTTAAAAGTGGTTTCTATCATGGCCATGCCCATTGAAATCAGTAATGTGGTAAACCATGGTAAACCCAAAGATACCCAAAGCCATCTGCACCATTCCTGCAGCCATGGTTCTATCCTCACTTGTTCTCCCCGGTTCATCCCTGACCAGACCCAGTTAGAACGATAAAGTTATTAGACAATCAAATATGGGGGATTCAGTTTGTGTTCTTCAAAAACCTTTGTCGCTTTCATTCCGGCTCAGGTTCATCGCTTAATGCTGTGCTGTTTGACGCGTGGGTGCAGTGCGCTGAGGGCCAGTGGAGTACATCTGCATTCTACCTCAACATCAAAACCCGCCACACAAACAAGAAACGAGGGACTCGAAAATGGATGTTGTCAGGTGAGATGGATGCTGCATTTGGCAGCCACGTTGCTGATGCCATGCGTCAACACAAGGCCAATGACGCCACTTTGTGGGAGAAGGAAACGAGATTCCATCCCGAGCTACCACAAAAAGAGGAGACTCCTGGTTGTTTTTTTCATTGCTTCCTTTTCTGTGTTCATTCAACTTGCAATCATCAATGCTGTTCTGCCAGGAGTTCCGACAGTACTTGTGCCTATGCGAAGATGCTGAAGATACTGAGGTGTGTGAAGAGATCGAGCGACTTTACAGTTGCATTGACAAGGATTCTGGCAGCAGCAGCAGCAGTTCGTCTTCGTGCCGAAAAAGGAAGTCACCTCCTAAGGATTCTAAGGATGAAAAGCCAAAGGATTCAAAGGACAAGAAGGACAAGAAAGACAAGAAGAGCAAAAAGGACAAAAAAGATAAGAGTAAGAAGGCGGGGGGATAAAGACAAAACCATTTTTGATCCATCACAATCTGGTCGACCTACACCAGGAGAAGAAGAGCCAGGGCAAGAACAAGATTGGCAGCAAGGGTGAGTCGCAAGAGACACCAGAACAACAGAGAGTAAGGCTTCAGAAGGAAAGTCAAAAACAGTTTATGAAAGAGGCAAAGAAGGCACCCATTATATGCATATATGCATATATATCATGGATATGTTCAAATCCGTATAGTGTGAGAATCCTGTGTTGTTTCTTCATCCCTCCAGGCCATTTCCGATGCCAGTAGCAAGTTGAAGACTGCGACTGGCTTGCTGCCGAACATCTCACAACTGCCTAGTCCTCAGGATTTTTTGGATCTTGAAACCAAAGTCTTGAGACACGCCTACACACCTGTAATTTTCCAACATTTAGTTTTTCTGTTTCTAAATGCTTTCCTGGATATCATCTTGTGCCCCGGGGCTCGTCAGGAGTGACAAGTACCAAGAGTCTGTGAAGGCAGACTATGATGCAAAAAAGCAGGCTTGCGAGGCGGGGTGGTTCACGGGATGGGGATTAGGTTCTTTCATATGCTTTCAACTTTTTTGCTTGTGGAGGCAGCACGTGCAGAACTTCAAAAAGCTGTGGATGATGACAAGGCTGGGTTTTTCTAGCTGTGATTTTCTACATTTTTGTACCCATTTAGCTTTTGGAAATCCATCATACGTGTCATATGTGCAATTTCTGTCCGGCAGGTTGTTCGCTCCTTGATCGATGCCTGTGATGCGGCCCGTGTAGAGCTGGGAGTTGCGGTTGAGCCATTGAAGGTTAAGAAAGCCAAAAAAAAAAGTTTGGCTTGGAGATAGGCGACATTTTGTGACGTAGTTTCTCAGACGCGTAGCCCAAAAAAGCATTCAAGAACAATTGCTTTGTTGAGTAACAGGTCATCACAATGATGAGATTTGGGTCTGAAATCTGAAAAAGGTTTGTCATTTTTGTTATGTGATATATTTGATTCAAAGAAAGAGTCAGGCTGCTGTGTCACAGCACAGGTGCAGCAGGTGTTTGGGTCCACCGGTGACCTAGGGGATACACCATGGGGGCTCACTGTGTGCTCCTAATCTCGTTTGCAACGCTGCTGCGGGGCTGTGTGATGTAAAGCCCATACAGTTATTTGCAACACACATGTGCACCATATCTTATTTAGCAAGTCTCTGCCAGCAGCTGCTTTCATCCCTCATCGCGTGACCATGCGTGACCGCATTTCATTGACAAAGAAAAAATTAGGAGCGTGAGGTGCTGATTGCACATTGCAACCAACATACATACACAGGTTTTTAATGTTCAAAAGGCATTGTTCTTGAGTATACATGCATGCCCCCGCAGGTCGGAAAGAGCTCGGACCACTGGAGAAGGACCTCTGCGAGCGTATTGCTAGTGGAGTATCTTGCTGGAGTTTTAGAAGGAGAGAGTTCGATTTTTGTGTGTGGAGGGGTGGTTGGTCTGTTTGTCTGGGAGTTCTAGTGTTTGTGTGTGTGTCATTGCATTGAGGATTCAAGTGCAAATGCTGTGATGAAGTCAGCAAGATCAACATATGCAGCCGCTTGGTTTTAAGGAGCATCAGTGAACAATAGCAAATCCAAAGCAGACCCCAGTAGATTGTGAAACTAAGTTTTGTTGAATGCCAAACCTGCCTCTGCATTTTAAGGAGGCAAAAGGCAATACCACAGAATTCACTGAAAAACTGGCTGGCTATTCCACCGGCAACGAATCTCGAGATTATTTTCGCAACAATGAACTTCCTGTTGACACTTGCACTTTTATAGACTCAGAAAAAATGTTTTTGTTTTCTTTTCCATTGCTGGCCTGTTACCTAATTCAACATTCCTGGCTGGACCCTGTTTGCCAACAACTAGCCTAGGAGCCATTGTACATCAAGGTGCCCATAAAACTGGCAGACGATTCTGTTGGAGAAGAGCTTCTACCAGTGCAGCTTCCTTGGGACATTTTCGACTATTTGTTGAACAAATGCAGTTTTCAACTTGGGGACAGGCTTGTCCAAGATTTCTGGGAGCATTTGGAAAACGTTGGAGATACATGGGCTTGTTCCACTCGAGAGTTTCGGGAAGCTCATGGAGGCAAAGTCTGGCCTCTGGGGTTTTATGGGGACGAAGCGGTCATGGCCATTCAGAACAATCCGATGAACAAAATACTTGGGTTCACAGTCAACTGCCCCCTGTTCCGTCCACGGTCTACGCGGCTGAGCAGATACCAAGTGTTCAGTATCGAAACAGACAAGGTAGTATCATTTAAGGATACTATCTACCCAGTTTTGGAAGAGATTGTCAAGTCCTTTAACAAGCTGACTGAGGAGGGCATCAATGGAACCATTTTCCTAGTGTCAGAACTTCGAGGTGACCAAGCATTTTTCAAGAACTTGTTTCGCCATAAGTCATGGTGGAAAGCCACCAAAGTTTGCTTTCGATGCAAGGCTACTGCTGAACCGGGACCACTAAACTATTGTATCTATGAATCCAATGACGGTTGGGCCACGACAGTACGCACCACGGAGCAATTTCTGCTTGAGGAGCTTCCTGATCAAGATGCATGCCACTTTGTTAGAGCTCAACTTCCTGTTCAAATTTTCTAGGTGTGGAAATGGGATTTGTGGTTTCAAAAAAAATATTTTGGCTTAATGTTGCTGTGTGGCTGGATTCTCAAGGTCCACTGATCGACTTATACTTTTTCGACGTCTCCTTGCTGAAACATTGCACTCTCCACATTGTGAACCTAACCCTTCTTGGAATTTCCAATGGCTCGGTGCTGCTACTCATCTAAAATTGGAGTGCTGTCAACATTGTGGGGATTCCTTTTACTAAGAGTGTCATATCTGATATGTTTTTTTCTGAATGTTTCTGGATGTTTCTTGCCCATTTTCAACAAAACTACCAGGGGGATGATGCTCAACATGGGAGTTTTTGGTGACACTGCCGGTGGCTATGTGGAACCACTTGAAAAAGCATACAACGAATTTTCAATGTGGAGGCGATCCATGAAAATTGGTTGTTCCCAGAAAAGGTTTTCAGCTAAGTCCTTGGTCAGAGAGACCACCTATGGATGGTTTTTGAACTGCAAGGGCTACAACGCTCGAGTGGTAAGCGAGTGGTTGATGTACAAGCTGATCGAGGTCAATCAACAGCCTGAATTTCAAGGTCTTGATCCAAGACAGGAACTTTCGGAAACTGCTTTGAGATTTGGCGGCATTGTTATTTATATTGGGCGGGATAAAGATTGGATAGTTAGCCTGCTATTTGCCGACCCTTGGAAGTGTGCATGTTTGATTCGTTCGTTTGCTGTGTTTGCTGGCAGGAAGTCTTATAAAGCAACATTGGCAAATCATGCGTCCAAAGAGTTCTCAATGAACAAAATAAAGTGTAAGCAAGCTTTATCCATGTTTCTGCATAGTAGGTAGATATCACACTTACCTGTCGCAGCCATGGCCACGCCAGTGGGGGAGAGCGCTGACGTTGGTGAGATTCCTTTGTGGGATTGGTACCTTATCATTTTCTCGATCTTAGTATCAGTGATTGTGTCCACTGGGGTGGTGCTACTTTGGTGTGTCAACTTCTTGAAGGAGTATCTTGTCACTGGCCTTTTTTGTGCTAGAAAATCGACAAGTGTCCAACAGCTTATGCGAAAAATATCAGACTTGGACGAGAAGGACCAGCACGACCTCCGACAAAAATTGATGGCAAAAACCAACACTTCTGAGACAAGCCGAGTTCAAGAGATCATATCATTGAAGGTGGAGATTGACACGTTGAGTGAAAAGAATGTGCACTTGCGAAAGCAAATTGCTGAACTGAGGAAGTCTCAGGGTGGTAGCAAACCTAGCAGTTTCACCGTTTATGTGACCAAGACTGGAAATTGTTTTCATCTGGATCCGGATTGCCAACACTTAAGGCAAAGCAGTGTTCAGAAAATGCCATGCCAAATCTGCGTGAATTAGACTACCGCGGGCTGCAAATATGAGAAATCAAAAAAGATCAAAAAAGGACGCGTGGGGCAGGGGTTTGCTTTTGCTGTCCAAGTTTTGCTGCAAAAGATCTTTCTACCGAATGTTGACAGGCTAGGATTGCTACGATATACTGTGGATAAGTTGGTAACTATGGGCAACTATAAAGCACTGTAAATAATGGGGATATATTTTATTCAATCTACAGTAGTTTTCTTATACTCGCTCGATTCAGGAATTCGTTTTCCCAATGTTCCCGAAGCTGGGGAAATTTCAACAAATTAAATTACCTCTACATGCAGCTGTCAACCTTTCAGCCCAGGAGAGCCATCAACCGATACTTTGGACTAACAGAGCGCACCTCAAGGAAGTTGAGCTTTGTCAGCACAATCACCATCATGGCATCGTCCGTGGCAGAGGGTGACAAAAGGGTTAGTAAGGTTATCTCAAATCTGGGTCTTTGATATTATAAATTTGGTTAGATTCCACACTACCCACTCCAAATTGGGTCCCAAATTCCAAGCTTTGGTCTGCCAATGTTGTTGCCCAGGACACTGTATCAAGCGTCTGAAATTGAACGAGCTGGGAGAACCTATTTGCTGGCTTATCGACAGCTCAATTCTATGAGTTCCTCAATGAATGATCTGGCGTGGGTGCTCACTCCAAAGTGGCATGTCTCTTGGTGGTGTTCAATCAATTTAAGTTTATCATCTTTAACATTTGGGAATTTCATTTTTGGGATCCCTCATAATATTTTTGTTGAGTCTGATTGACACGAGTGCGGAGGCATTCTCCCACGTATGTGTTGATGCGAAACGCCTGCAACTCAATCCACGTTTCACCCATACATTTGCAGATGAAGATCAAATGTCCCAATTGAAGAAATGGGCCAGGAGGAGCATTGGTAAGAAAAGGGAAATGGTAGTCTCGCGGCTAAGCCGTATGAGGCTAAGAACCCTGTTGTGGAAACTGCCAGAGTTGGCCAACAGAGCCAAGTGAAAAAAAAGGTCCTTCCTCTTTGAAACATATTCATATAACTCCTATGTTAAAGCTGGATTCAGTAAATCTTCGTATTTGGTGGTAAAACTTCGAATCTACAGAAATGCTAAGTTAAACTTCGAATCTACAGAAATGCTAAGTTAAACTTCGTAGTTGGATTTTGAGGGTATATATATTATATATATATTATATAAAATTATATATATATATATATATTATATATATATATATATTATATGTATTTATATGTATAAGGGTTTTCCCGCAGATGTTCCCACCATTTCCATCCATCTTAAAAAAGTGGACAAGTTGAGGCGTCCGGGAACGCATCAGCGAGATCCGGAACGAGCTCTTTGAATTGCAGGCGTGAAAAATAGGGTGATTTCATGGGGTTTAAATGGATCAAGGGGATTTGATGTTAAGACTTTCCAACTAGCGAGAATTAGAAGAGGTCAACAATTTATTTTAACATGATTTAAAAGTGATTCTGGTATTTACTGGAAAAGTGATTTAAAAGTGGGTTTGTAACTGGGTGAATTTATTAAATGTTAATGGGATTTCTTCCCCGAAGTGAATGGAGGTTTATATCTGGAAAAACTGTAGGAACATATATGGGAAATATATGAGAACATCCCCGAAGGAAATGGAGGTTCACAGCTGGGATAATCCCTTATCAATATATCAATGACATTTTCTCTTGGAACGGATCCTCCCCATATTTATATTAAATCTTAGTAGTCTAATCCCCATTACAGTAGTTCATGGTTGGTGAATGGTCAAATCATGTTGAATTCCTTTGTTTTTGCTTGCAAACTGAGGCAAAGAATGGCCAGCTTTACGAGGCGCAACTGTCGAACACTGACATGGTGGTGGACCAAGAGTGAGCCCAGCCGCGGAGAACTGTTGCCGTGGGGATTTTGGGTTAATCCCAAAACGGGTGAATTTTGACCCCAACTTCGCATGCAAATCCTGTTGGAGTTTGGGGAAGAAAAATTGATGTAGATCATTCATAAAATCATCTCTTTTCAAAGTTAGCACTCCAGCAATTTCTGACTCATTCAGAATGGAGAAGATCAGTTCATAGAGACGACTGTCGCTGGATCGGTGGATTTTCAGGGTTCAAGTTGGCCGATTTGGGCACTGGGATGGCGGAAATCAACGGCCTCTGGTCAACGTTTACATAGCTATGGAAAATCACCATGTCTAATGGGTAAATCAACTATAAATGGGCTAATTTCAATAGCTATTTTGACATAACCAGAGGGTATATGCAACATAAATCAAAAAATAATGTCAACGAAACTTTGCACCAAACTTACCCGTCTTCAATTGATGTGTCCTTGGAGTGTGTGACCATGAGACGTGTACCAACACTGGAACAGAGCTCCGGTCCGGATCGTGGTATTTTCCAACGGCTTCCAGATAGCCACAACACCAGTTTAGAACTCCCAGAAAATGGAGGGAGACCACATGGGGGTTTCCTGAAATGGGGAACCCCCAAACCATCCAAAATTAGAACATTTCAGTAATTGTTGACAATTGAAACCTATGGTCTAGGGGAGCCCCCTTTTAACAAGCCCCCATACAGGAAGCGTACCTGTATTGGTTGGAGGCTGGATAAACATGATAAACTTGTGGGGCACTTTACAAGATGACATGCAGTATCGCTGAGCGTTTATACTTCGAGGTACATCAACCACTTGAAGGAAGACATGGAGAATCAGATCGAACAGGCTCAGACTGCGCAGAGAACCACCATTTGAACAGGTTTCTGTTTTTGCGACTGAAGATGTTAGCTGCAGTTGAAGGTACCGGTAATTATTGGATTGCATCGGAGCATATTGGAGGATGTGACGCCTCGTTTTTGGAGGATTCTCCTTTGCAACACCCGCAAAGTGCACGCAAAGCCAACCCCTGGGAATTCAACCGTGTTGCACTTGATTCTGAATTTCAAACAGTTTGCTGTACATCTTCCCTTCCTGTCATGTCAACCCCGGATTCAGAAAGCCTGGTTGCTAAAAATTAAGGGGATTCTCTCCTGATAGTTATAATCTGCTACTAAATTGGTACCATCCCAATTGAGCAGTGTTCAAAACCCCTGTTGGTTGATGATTATCGGGGATTATACTATCCTTCATATATTGGGGATTTTAATAATCCAAGAACGGGAAATCCCGTTCTTAACCAAGCAGTATTTCATGGAATGATAGAGGGATGGCTTGAACACTGCTCAATTAAATAATCCCATCCCCCTAGTATGAAAAACACCCCCTTTGAAACCATGGTTGAATGGGAATTTCCACATTCCATTGGGACCATGCAATTGGGGTGTTTAATATTAGGATGGGATTAGCCATGTCCCAATGAATCCGGGCTTGAAATGCTCGACCCTGTAGGTCCGTTTTGAGCTGGCATGGCTGGTGGAATTTCACGTCGCTTGACGTCAAGGGGCCTGACAGGGCTGTTTAAAGCGGCTGGCACAGTGAAGATCATGCAGAGTTATTTGGGGTTTATGGGGGATAGGATGATATAGCTTGTATAACTATGATAATATATAGTATAACTTAATATAACTATCTACTACTATATATAATTATATATAGTTCATAATATATTGATGATTTTTAATGGGTTTCTAAACCAACTTAGGACTGGCGAAATGCTGGGAGCATCAGCCCAGGAATTGCAACTGGCTGGTTTTTTCCTGGGTCCAGAGATGGGACAACCCAGCTGATCCTGGATGGATAAAAGATGAGAAAAGGATTGGTGAGAATCAAAAGGATAAGGGCCGACCAATTTGTAAAGATGCAGGATGATGCAGGACAACTTGCTCCTTAGTTCAGTTTAAGGGTGTCTACGGGCAATCCAATGCAAATTCTGAAAGAATGAGCCATTGATTTTTTGCGGTCATTTCACCAGAGGTTTCCTCCATGTTTTTGCGTCAGATCCTTGAGATTAAGGAGCGCGGTCTACAGAAGCTCAAAGACTACTATCTGCAGCAAGTGGACTTTGAGAGAATCGAGGTACCGTGCTGGTACCGTGCTGACAGTGGATGGTTTCAGGTAGGGACCAGGTAGGATCGGGTTGACACCGCCAGGTCACACTGTGCCCATCTCTTTTTGGACATGTCAATCGACATTGTCTGGTTTCCTAAAGTAGGGTAGCCCAAATCATCTAAGTCACTAATGTGAACTAATGTGGGTAAAACAATGCCATTTTTACCACCCATGACTGGGAATGGTAAACATACCACCAAACAAAAAATGGTGACTGGGGGATGGCGCCCCGGTGGACGTGGTCCAGAAAATCTTCTTGAGCTATTTTCAAATTTTTGTCGAAGCTTTCCAGTCTGATTTTTTGTTTTAAGAATCTCCTCATTTTTTCGAGATTCTATATGATGTTATAAGATTTTATGATCTCTTTGGAGATTTTGGAGAAACCCACCCTTACCCTCTGGTAAATTCAATCCCATTCACCAACCCAAAGTGTTACTGTTAATCCCATTAAATCCCATTAACCATCCCGTATACCAGGCGCAACTTGCTCGGCAGGTGCTGGGTTTCCAGTCCGATCATCGCGTCTCCACCTTTCGCTGCGCCAAGATGTCCTCTGAATTGCAGGCGAATCTTGCCAGGCACGGCGGCACGAAATCACGAGGGCTGGGGATGTTTTGTAAAGATGTGTTTGATGAACCATCTATGGTTAATCTATGGTTAATATATGGTTAATATATGGATAATCTATGGTTAATATATGGATAATCTATGGTTTATGGTTAATAGTTACCCTCTGGTAATTTAACATAGCTATTGAACATGGCCATTCATAGTGGATTTTCCCATTAAAAATGGTGATTTCCCATAGTTATGTTAGTTTACCAGAGGGTATCACCATGAAAACAGCCCTGCAACCATTTTAAATTACCATATATCACCAATGTAAAGCATGAAACATGGCTGTTTTCATTCCTTTGCCGAACAAGTGGAATTGGGGAGCCCATGGCTGTTTTTGGTAAGATATTGGTGAATTTGGGTGATATGATAATATGGAAATATAATGAAATATGTACAGATTTCACATGAATTATATATATTATAATTATATATAATGGTATATATATATCATTCATATATATATATAGTTATATATAATTATATATATATATAATTGCATGATCCTCATGCACAGTTTGCTCCATTGATGGCTGAAAACTGCTTCCCTAAAGGCTTGAACACTCATGGAAACTCTGTACATTCTACAGTAGAAAATATTCTTCAGTGTTTGATGCATGTGTGGTGTTGCTTAAACATGGGGTGCCATCCCCAAAACAAACAAACGACCCTGAAATGAGTTGGAGGTTGGAAGAGAGTTTTCCAAGCTAGGAGTAGGCCATTAATAAATTCGCCATTTTGGGGAATCTACAGGAACTATGTGTTTATTACGTTTTTTTAAATTGCCCCTTAAGAAACCTCAAGAAAATCCCAGATAAACCAATTTACCATACTTGACCTATCATCAATCAACTGTAAATCCTCATGTTTGGGATCAATCCTAGATAGCTAAGTTCACTTCTAATTTGGTTAGCGTGGATTAGGGGGATACTATAGTTATCTGGGGATGGGTCAAAACTTATTATTACCATACTTTGGGGAATAAACATCCATTAACCAATTATTTTAGGCTACTTAAGGTACCACGGTTTTGACCCATAACCATCTATAGTTCATGGTTTTATAAACAACAAACATCAGCCGTAGGGCCTCGCTTAACGGGGCCTCGGTTTCCCGTAGGTTGCACGAACTGATCTTCGCCGCTGGAGAGGGCGACGGTGACGAGGCCGGGGGATCTGCGGATACTCTGCGGATTCAGCCAAGCAAAAAGGGAGGTTACCCTCTGGTTATGTCAAAATAGCTATTGAAAATGGCCATTTATAGTGGATTTACCCGTTGAAAATGGTGATTTTCCATAGTTTATGTTAGTTTACCAGAGGGTAAGACATGTTATTTAAGAGATGTTGAGATAATCTATAGAAACCCTTTTGAGAAAACATATTTTTTTGATCTGCAAAACCAAGGCACAAACGCAAGGTTCACAGTCTCACCTTGCAGGGTTCCTTCAATTTCTTAGAAAGATTGCCCCCAAGCGCGAGCTGCCCTTTCCAAAGGTGGCAACTAAACTTGCTGCCCTGCAGATGATACATGGTAGGAGTGTGGTGCAAAGCTTTGTGAGGTAAGATTCCATGGATTCAGATGGGAAATCCATGGATTGATGTGAAAATCATTTCCAAGAGAAACTCCATGGTATTTCCAAAAGTATGTTAGTTTAGTGAGCGGAAACCAACCAAAAATGCGGGTGACCACATGTTGAAAACTCTTAGAACTAGGGAAGATGATAAGCTTTTTGACGGATGCAGATGATACTGCAGGATGTTCTTCAATGGAACCATACGGAGATGGGATGATTTTTTCGTTGTAAAACGACAATGACTTCGACACATTTCGCCACACAGGAACCCGCTATGGTGGGATGATCATTCAAAAATACTAGGTGTTTTGATCAAGGCAGATACATGTACAGGTTTGCCCCGGAAGTGAGTGACTGCTTCATGTCTTGATCTAATTTCAGAGCCCATCTTCTCAATAGCAAGTGAGGCCGGTCAATTGTTTTCGATATTGGACGTTTGTTAAAAAAAAAACAATACTCTAATACCGCATACCGCTACATCCAGGAGATTGTACCTCCGCGTTTTGCCATCGTTCCGGCACCTATGTGTGTTATGCACATTATATCCACTGTGGATTTTGCGATTCGTGTTCTTCGTTCATGCTGCGTTTCGTGCCATGCTTCCCAGTTTGACTCGGGTGGGGGCAGCTATGATCAGCAGATAGGTGACACTTTCTTGCGCCCCCCAGTCTTGGTTGGAACGTTCACCCGGATTGAGCAATTCAAGTTACCCTCTGGTAAACTAACATAACTATGGAAAATCACAATTTTTAATGGGAAAATCCACTATAAATGGCCATTTTCAATAGCTATGTTAGTTTACCAGAGGGAATCTTGGTCTTGGAAAAGTTATCTTGGAACCTCTTGGAACATCATCTCTTTGTTGATGACCAGTGGGTGGAAACACATGGTTCTGCGATGCCTGAAAACAGTGATTCTTCAGCCATCTAACACAAGGCCTGGATGTCGAATAGTCGTAGTATGTCGTAGTCCACTCCTTGAGAAGATTCCAACCAGCACAACCCAATAAGAAACGTTCTGCATATTTATATATAAACAGTAAACATATATATGTAATATTACACTCTATATATATATGATAATGTAATATACAATAATATGTATGTCCGATTAAGTAAGTTCCCTGTCAAGCTGTATATGAATGTATGCTTTGTGTTTTCCGTGACACTTTATGACTCTATGACACTCAATATGATACCTACAGCATGATGACATATTCTCAAGAGTGTTTTGTGTCTGTGTGTGTCACGTCATTGGATGTACATGTCAGGTATTTCAGACTTACACGCACACAAACAAACAAAAAACAATCAATGAAACAAACAAACAAGCAAGCAAGCAAGCAAGCAAGCAAGCAGACAAGCAAGCAACAACGGAACCCCTCAAAATGTTTGGTCAGTGGGAAGATCAATTTTCGGTGTCGAATGTACATAGTACAGATGATATTCTCCTAGTGGTGGTGACAATTCCGCAATGCCAACACTTTCTTCATGCTTTTGAAACTCAGGCTCGCAGGTATGGTTTATTTACAACTTAATCATACTTAATCAATAAAGACTGTCCCCTGGAACACCCAAATAGATCCAAATAGTCTTGACAACACTCCACACTTCCTTGTTGGGACATGTTGGGACAGAGGTGCTCAAGGCAAGTTTCACGAAATATCTGGGGGTCACCCTGTGCTGGGATCGATAGAATGAGATAGCCATCCGCACCAGGACTGCCTTAGCAGAAGCGGATACAAAAAATCTGAAGTAGTTCATGACGGCTTGCAAGTAAACTCCCGATTTTCCAGCAAACTCCGTATTTTCCAGGCAATGTTTGTTCCCATTCTGCTGGTTTAGAACAGCTCACCCTCACATCCCACGATATGCGGAGTTTCAACACGGCAGGTTGGCGTTTTTCGCCGGGTTTCCAAGAGTCACTTCCCAATCCCTATGTCGAGCACAAGGCAGCAGCCACTCGTAATACTGGTAGGTTTATTAACGTCAACCCCAGAAGACCCTTTGCATATTATCGTTTATAGATGTTTATAGATGTTTATAGTATATAGTTCCGCTCCCAGAGATAGAATTGCAACTGCCAGACGGGTGCCAGGAAGACCTAGGCCAAAAAATGGCTGTATCAAGTGGAGGGCCAAGCCGTAACAGCCATGAAAACAGTCCCGGATGACAACTTGGCATACTGATGCATGCTGTATATTGGAATTATTGGATAGTACGGGATTGAATATAATGTTAGATTAATTATGTTCGATTGACACCCAACAATTCGAGAGGTTTCTTCTGGCAGCCCTAATGAGTGCTTCCTTTTGGCAGCAGCAGCAGCAGCAGCAGCAGCAGCACGCAGGGACAGGTTCGGATCTGGGCTAGAACAGAGGGACGAGGAAAATTCAGATATAATATATACTATATAATTATATATACGAGGAAGATAGGAGGAAGCATGCGGTGCACTAAGAAACTAACCCAAGGCCTAAGCCTGATGGATGCAGAAAAGGAGACCGTATACCCTTTGGATCCCTTTGGGATTTAGGAATTGGGAAGTTAAATATGTGGTAATCAGCCGCCGCTGTGGACACGCCAAGGCGGGAAGGCCACCGAGTACAAATTATAATTCCAACAGCTTATGTCATGGTTGCCTATCAACGTCCCAACATGTCCCGACAAGTCAACCACCGGAAAAAACATTGCATTCCCCACTGGTGTGTTTTGCTGTTCCTTCCACTGGAACATAGATATAGGTAGCAGCATGGGGCGCATGAGGGTTGTCCCACACCTGTTGGAAGCCGCCCTGACGCGAAAAGCCTTCGCTGAACTTGAGCTGTAGACCACAGGCCTCTGTCCAGCAGTCCGCAACACCGCGCGCCTTGTTTTCAGCAGCGCTCCTCTTGGTGCTTGTGTAGCTTGACCAGTCGGCAGACTGGTGGCCCACTTACTGTTAGCCATAAAGACAATAAATAAATTTGTACGCAGACAACAGAGCAAACCTGGAAAAGTGTGAGCTGCTTCCATAATCATGAATTTGGGCAGGCTTCGTTTATGCATGTGCGCTGCCCGTGCCCACTGCTATTCCATCCATTTTGAAATGAAACATGAGTTGCGGGTTCAGCTTCCTTTCTTTTGGTTGAGGGCCGCAACTGTGCCAAAGCTGGTTCCAGGAGGATGATGATGGAGATGATGGTTTGGGTTTTGATGGCAGGTCCACCCTGCGAGGCCGAATTGGGCTAGACTGGTTGGAGGAATGGTGAGCTATGATTGTTGTTTTGACCACCATCCGGTAATCAAACATGGTTGGCTGGGAAACGCAATGTAGTGAGTGTAGCAACATGGTTTCGGGAAAACTCAAACTTCACAGGCAAGGCCAGAAACAACATGAAACAACTATGTGCAGCAATGAAACTCGACCTTTATAATTTTGGCGATGCCACTTGGATGTCTTTGTTGAGTTTGGAGAGGGGTTGGTTCTTATGTTTCAGTTGTTTCGCAGATGCAAACCCAAAAAGGGGAACTGCTTACACATTAGAACATGTCATGAGACCACAGTCTGGCAATTTGAAAAAACACATGACCGACTTCTGATTGTGCACATGGGTGATGGACGTACTGGTTTCCGGAATTTGTTTTGAGAACCTTTGATCAAACAACAGTGCCAGGGCACAAGACGGATTTCGGTTTTGATGGGACGGACAATGCCGGCCTGGGACCCAGTGGGACCCTGTTGCGTTTCACGGCAGATCTATGGTTCGGTAAACTGCGACACAATTCCCAATGCGTTGGTCGATGAGGTTCGCAGAACACCGAGAAACCCCTTTCAGGCACGGCACAGGAGTTGGTCGGGCAAATGTCATCCATGTGGATCAACATTTCAGATTCAAAATCCCACATTTTTTAAGATCCATGTTTCATGATTGTGGCATGTTCACTGTACACTTTAACCCATGTTCGTATATAATTAATTCATATTAATTCAAGATGCCTGCGCACCAACACCACAAACTACAGAAGCAGAGCTGCTTGGGTCGGATGTTCGGGTTTGGAATGGGGGTTGAAAGTTTCACATGATTTCACATGTTTGGCAAATTAATCCATAATTCATCCATATTAATCCAATATTTTCTTAATTTCTTGGATTATCCCCGTCACAGTCAAGGTGCGGAGCAACGTGAACTGCGGCGGCAGCAAAGGACTGGATCTCACAGTTTTATGGACTATGAATATCAATATAATTCGACAGTTCTGCATGGTTGTCACATTCTATTATCATTACCTACATAAATTATTGTTTGCATCCAACATACGCATAATTAGTTTTACGCCTAATTATTTTCACCATGGTTAATGCAACAAACAAAATATCATGTCTGAATGCATAATGTTTTCCCATCATTTTGTTTCGTCTTCATCATTGACCAGTCAGTTCTTAGCTGGTGTTTTGAGTTGGTGCTTTGGAATTAGAAAAATCCCATATGGGTATCCCTACAATTCCAAGGCACCAACCCGAACAAAACAACCAGCTAACTGTTGATATAATATATTATGTCAGTCAATAACATTTTCAATAACTACTAATAGCTAGCCTGAGGATTATTGTTGATCTAGTTGTTAAGTGGGGATTCACATGTTTATTCACAACCACTTAAGTACGTTGGTTCTAAAACCAAAATGGTATAAAACAGTACCACTTAACACACATGATATTTTACATGGTATAAAACTGGTAAAAAACCAACATAAACCCAACCATCTTCCCATTTCCGGACCCGGAGCCCGCACAGGATGCTCCGGAAGGCGCAGATGCAAGAGCTGGAACGCGCCAAGCCATCCGAGTCCTATGAGGTGAGCAGACGAGGGACTTATCGATGGTTTATAAGTGCTATATATATATATATATAGAGGTACCCCCAAATGTATGGTTTATAGTCGAAAATCACATTAAAATGGATGATTTGTATATATATATATATGAATATGTTAGTTTCCTGAAATAGAGGTACCCCAAATATCCCCAAATCATCTATAGGAATTTCCACTATAAACCACTATAAACCATCCAGCTATTGGGGTACCCACATTTATGGAAACCCTCATACAATCATCCTTCAAAAAGATGCAAAAAATTGGACACCTGGGGATTTTTTGGGGAGAACACTTCATTTGAAGTTCTGAAGCGTCCTGGATGTTCTGAAGTGATCTTGTTCGGTGCTGCTAAGGCGCCTGAAGATGTGGAAGCCATTGCCAATGCAGAGGCTGTCGCGGCCCACCATGGGTCGTTTTCCTTGAAATTGGAATGGCTACCATTGAAGATTTAACCAAGCAAAACGATGATTTATTGGGATTTCATGAGATATAGTGGGGATATATTATATAACCATTATAACCTACTTGTGCCCCACATTGTTAGATAAGTTGGTGGAAATGATCTTCACATGTCATTGATGGGTATGATGATAGAGATATCGAGGTAGTTATCGGGGTTTCTAAATCAACAAACACAACTGGAGGGGGCACCCACCTGGTAAGACAAACAAGAATCCACGAATTCTGACCATGCCTTGTGGATTGTGTTTTTGTTTATTTATTTTGCACGCATGGAACCAGGCAAACTTATGTCAGGTGTTTTTGAAATCTCGTTAAAACATGGTGCCGGGCATCTCAGAGGCTCGCGACTGTCGTCACTTTTCAATCTTTAGGGGGGATTTGAAAACGTTCAAAAACGAAACTTTAGTTTCATCAGCAACATCGTCATGAACATCATCAGCAACATCGTCATGAGCATCGTCATGAGCATCATCATCATCATCATCATCATCATCATCATCGTCATCGTCATCGTCATCGTCATCATCATCATCATCATTTCTTCCATGTTCTTGATCATCCTGGAGGTGGCAGCAGATGGGAGTTTTTTTTTTTGCAAGCCTAGCATGACGTATGTGTGGAAGCGCAATAGAACCTACAATAGCGTAGAATGACGTATGTGTGGAAGTGCAAGAGAACCTACAGTAGCGTAGAATGACGTATGTGTGGAAGTGCAAGAGGACCTAGAGTAGCGTAGATTGGCGTAAGTGTGGAAGTGGAAGAGAACCTACAGTAGCCTAGCATGTGAATGAAATGCAAGAGACCGTACAGTACTGTAGCATCACATATGTGTGGACGTGCCAATGACGTTATTACCCCCCCCACCCCACCCCAACCCCCCCCCACCCCACCCCAACCCACCCCAACCCACCCCACCCCTCCACCTCTCCCACCCCCACATCCAATGTTATGTTGATAGTATGATGCAAAACATGACAACAGTCGCGAGCCACTCAGATGCCCGGCACCTAAAGCATGTCGTTAAAACATGTTGGGTGAAGTGATCATTCATTTGTGTTGTCTCAAGACAAAACTATGTATGGTTTCTTATGCAACTTTGCAGTCCCATGTGTGCCATGGTCAAAAGTTGGATGACCATCATAGCAATTTGGGATGGTCATCCCTGAAAATTCCAGGATATTGCTATACCATGCTATACCCTCTGGTAATTTAACATAGCTATCGAAAATCACCATTTTTTTCATGGGTAAATCAGTGATTTCGATGGCCATTTTCAATAGTTATCTTAGTTTAGCAGAGGGTACCCATGATGGCCATGGAAGATGAAAATACCATGCTGGGATAACCTATCCCATTCTCCGAAAATGCTCAAAGAGGCCACCCTGGACAGGCCACCCTGGGCAACTACATGTTGAAAACCAGCCAGGACTACCAGGTGCCAAGGGGATGACTTAGCCGATCGGGACGACTTAGCCAACGCGAGGCATACCTAAGGATGGCAATATTTGGCAATTTTTTATGCCTTTTTATAGGGAAACTGGTCATCAACCAATGGATTTTAGCGGCACCCCATTTTTCGACAGTCTAATTTGAGTAAAAATCAAGCAGATTACCATGAGACAACAGCGCCAAACTCATTCCAGGAATAGCAGGCATGTTTTTTGTTCCAGCAATGATGGGCATCGGCATCATGTAATATATCATGTCAAATATATTCACTAACAACAGGTTGTGACAAATATATCCAACTTAGATACTGTGTCAATTGTATTTGTATCTGATACCACATCAAAGTCCAGCTTTGCTTCTTTTTTTGGTTTAATGCGGAGAACATAAAACCTTCTGTTTTCACATTTCTTGTGACATGCCGTTCCGCTTGTTGGAAGCATCACCGATTCCTGATGCCTGTGGCATGCTGTTGCATGTGGCAGTAGCCAGGTGCCAGAGAACCAACGGATGAATGCGGAGAAGAAGCGAAGACAAATGTTTTTGCTGGAGGACCGGACCAGTAGACTCATTGGGGATCGGTCAAAAGCTTGGGAACCCCTGGTGAACCCTGAAGTAGTTGGGAAACGGATGTTCATCGCCACAAATATATGGTATGCGGATGTATGCGGTATGATAGTTTTTGACCCATCCGCACATCAACCATTCGAAGCATTCCATGGGAAGGGTCATCCGCTGCACCTCGACCTGCGAAAAAAGTGGCGGCACATGGGTTTTGTCTGAGAACATGGCACCCGAAAAGCCATTGGTTCATCATTTTCTCCTATCAAACTTGCCACAATTGGTGGGTGTGTATGTGTGTGTATATATATATTATATACACATACACACCCACTATATAGATGTAGACACCATTTTTGTTTTCACATGAAAACACATATTTCGCAGATGTGCCCTCCGCCCCGGGCCCCACCTATTTTTTTCCAGCACTGCGCACTGCCAGCACTGTCCCGAGGAGTCCATTCACGCCATCAAGACGGAGTTCAACCAACGGGTGCCTGGGACAGCTTACCGGAAAGGATGTCATCAGAGGTGTGAGGCTGGGAAATCCCATATAAATATCTATAAATATCTATAAATGGAGGTTTTAATATAGATATTTTCCGTTGCCATATAATCCCATATAATATAGATGTTCCCATATAAATAGGTTTTAATATATGATATTTAAATGGGAAAATCATCTACAAATGATGCATTTCCCATTGCCATGTAATGTTTTGCATTCATTCCGTTCAAAGTTTGCTATGAATGGTACCTGAATTGCAAGAAGCATCCCTTTTTGTAATAATTGTATTGCTTGTTTGGCCGTTATAAGTCCATGCACTGGCAAAACCATTTCTCATGTTTTATCTGCATTCTGATCCACTATAGTCATTCGATTGACTTCTGATCAGATACTCTGTGGTTTGCTATGCAATATGTATATAAATATATATATATATAACCATGTTTAATTTAATAGGTAAGTCATCTATAAATGGACCATGACTTCCATACAAAAGTGTGAAATGACTGCAGGGCATTCTTGTTCCATTTTTATGGGATTTCGGAGTTGCTGATTCTCTTTGATGCACTTCATGTTTTGATCCCTTCTTTCCTGTGAACAAAATGACAGAGACAG